GTTGTGTTCAAGAGGCACAGCTGGATTTTGTGCTGTTCCTCAAAAGCAGATCCCAGTGCTGAGCCTGCCAGCAGGTTCATCCTGCACAGCTCTCCAGTGACCTCCCCGTTTTGGGAGATGCTTCGGAGCCCAGCATACAGATCCTGTCTGTAAGCCCAGAGCATCCCTGACAGCCTCCTTCTCTAGTGCCTGAAATCCTGGCATAAACAGGAGCAACTGTCAGAGAACATTAATGCTCACTGTGACCAGCCCCGCAGACTGGAAACTCCTGGGCTACATCCCACAAAATCCCAACTGATCCCAAATAACACAGCCTGATTTTTCTTAGTGTCTCTTGGCTTTTCTGTTGTGTTGAGCCCCCTTTTCTTGCTTGGCAGTAATTTTTGAAAATCACAAATACCATCTCACAGGTGAGGATATATCTGGGTGTTTCAGACCACCCTCAGGCTGCAGGAGAAGCAAAATGTGGTCATTGAAATTTGTCACACGATGCCACCACACAGCCTGATGAGCAGCTCAGGAGCAAATCCCAAGGAAGGCAGAGATGCACAGCACCTGCTGCAGAGTCACAGGGTTAAAAAGAACTGCTTTTAAGGATAAATAGGGTAGCAAGAGGTGCCAAAATGACCTTCAGAAGAAGTACTTTTGAAAATTTAATAAAATATATATATTTAATATAAAGACATCCTGAATTTACTTTCTTCTTCCCCATTTGTAGCTGCTCATACTTATTGTGTGTACTGGGTGCTGGGCTAAGACAGGACAGTTGGTGGGAGGGAGTCACTAATGTTCACTGGATCTAAGGATTTTGTAGGCAGCAAACAGAACATTTTCCTTTTCAGTTTCTCAGCCAGATGCCCTCAAACTCACCACCTGGGCACAGGTGTACATCTATGTGTGTCTCCACTGCACTTACAGTGAGGAAAAAAAGAAAGTGGATTTTTTTTTCCCCAAGACGGAATACGCAGTCAATATTTCAGAATCCCATAAATAAAAAAGATTGATCTGATCTTTTAAAAACATATTTCCCTTTGGGCTCTGACTAAGTGTGAGAAAGTTCAGCCTAAGAAAGAATTTATTTGGAAAAGCAGTGAAAGGTTAGAAGCAGGGATGTGGGCTGGAATACGCCTTGCAAATGTTAACTGTGGAGGCACAGTGCTAACGCCTTGCATGTGCAAAAACATTTAGAGGGTTGTGAATTTAAACCATGAAATTAATATAGTCAAAATTAACGTTTTCTTGCCCACACCTTACTCATACAGGATATGGTGTTTGTAAAGTTCTGACAGGGATAGGAAGATGCGGAGGTGGTTTGCTGGTGTTAATTTATGGTTGAGGAAGAAGTTCAGCATCTCTGTTTCTTGATTAATTTGCAACATAAATGTTTCCTTAAAGTAAATGTAACTTTTGATTTCTTTTACTTTCTGGGGGGTAGCAGAGCAAAGCCCAGGAAGTTGCTTTGTTGTGCTCACTGACACTTCCCCAGTGAAAAGTGTGATACAGTGAGTGCTCTGTGTGTGCACACCCACGTGCAGCCACCATGGTGACCTGTGAATCATTTACAACTGCCTGATTCATTTTCCCAGTGCTCTTATTTAATAATTCTCCTACTCCTTGGGGAGAACTGTAAAAATGGATTTTATTTTCCTAATGTGTTTGCATTTTAAGTAGGCAAAGCCTCTTTAGATTCCCATTTGCCAAACAAGATCTGCACATGTAAGTGACCAATGAGCTGAGACCAAGGATGATAAATTTCAGTGCAAGAGGAAGAATTAAGAAAATAATAAGAAACTTAGTTCAGGGATTTGCAGTGTGAAGAAATTTTGAGTTTAAAACCCAAGCTATTGGAGGTACTTATCCCAAGATGGAGATGGTCAGGCTGGAGATCAGAGCAAGGTTCTTCCCCCAGAGGGTGCTGGCACTGCCCAGGCTCCCCAGGGAATGGGCACGGCCCCGAGGCTGCCAGAGCTCCAGGAGCCTTTGGACAGCGCTGCCAGGGATGCCCAGGGTGGGCTTGGTGGGGGTCTGGGCAGGGACAGGACTGGACTCATGATCCCTGTTGGTCCATTGTAACCCAGAATATTTTGCAATTCTGTGACCTGTCCTCTGTCTGAGGTGGGTGAAATTTGGAACAGTTCCTGGATATCCAGTGTGTTTCCATCCAAGTCCTAAAGATGTACTCAGGAACAGGACACACACTGGAGGGTTTGATGTGCTGCAAGTCCTGCAGTTCCATAGCTCTGGAGAGGAGCAGTGTCTCTCTGGGTAGTTTTAATCAGAGATTTTAGAAGAGGAGGCTTTCAAGTTGTCTAAAGTTCTGTGAACTTCAGATTATCTTATATAGAAAATTGCTAATATGCAATTCTTTCTCAGATGCTGCCCAGATAGACCATGTTTACAGAAATTTGGATGTTGATATTTAGAAACAAATCTCTTACAAAGTTCCTAGGCAGGAAAATGTTAGAGAAATATATTTATTTCAATAAAAAGAGGATAAGATTTTTAGTAATACCAGACTGTTCTGGTCATCCCTCAGTTTGTCCTCAAGATTCCAGGAGAGTTTTAGTGAAGGCAGAAATACATCCCTGGTATATCCAGTGCGGGAGGCACTTTCCATCTTCCAATGTGGGTTGGAATTTAGCAATAGAAGAGGTGTACAACAGCCATACCAGGGATTATTCCAAATTCTTCTTTCAGCCTGACCTTTTTCTGTTCAGCTGCTTGTTGGCATCTCAGCAATGCTGAACCTGAATAGCAAACAAACCCATACACCTTCAGTATTTTAAGTATTTGAATTCTCAGTAGCTTCCCTCCTAAGGATCTTCCTAACCAGAAAGGCAGAGGAATACAGGGGTCACCTTCCCGACACCTTCTCCTTCCAGCCTAAGCAGGGTTGGTGTTCTTGATTGCCTCAGGTGATTGTGGGGAGGAGGGTCCTGCATCCCCCTGGCTTAATTTAATTTCATTTTGTTCATGAAGAGGTTTTATGGAGTCAGGATCTCTTCTTCAATGCTGCTCAGTCATTTAACTAGCACTTCTTCTTTCCACTTTGGAAGCCAGGCAGTGATAATCCTTGTGAATTCCCATCTGGAAATCACAGTATGAACAAAATTTCTAGTCCTGCACAAATTAGTAGGAAACAGTCAGACGAGGTTTGCTTTTCTTTTATGAAACTCTCAGTGCTACATCATTTAATCCAAGCAGTTGTGAGACAGATGAATGGTGTGTTCCCAGCCAAACCATTTTTACTCCAGAAGGGGCTTTAAAATAAAATTGTCTTTATTGTGTGTTATGTAGAACTCCACAGTGTGGGCTGAATGGACTTCTTCACTTGAGATGGAACTTCAGATCCTTATTGATAGAAAGATAAATCTTTCCTCATTTACAGGTTATGTAGGTTCAAGTACAGCTGTTTTTTTTAATTGTGCAAATTAAGGCAGTCATTGTCAGATTGCTGAGAGTAACACCTTAAGATGCTGATTAGACCATTCTTTACCTTATCCTTGTTTACACTTTGAATTTACAAAAAAAGAACCCTGCCCTGCCCTGAAGTGACACCAGAATGAGGCAGGATGAGACAGGATCTGCTCATGTTGTTATGTTGTCTCATGTGTCTGAATTCTATCATGGAGCCTCAATATCCTGCTCCATGATGCTGATTTGGGGGATAATTGCAAAATATTAATATTTTTGCTTTAAATGGCTGATATTTGCTGTCTGTTTGGATTCAACCTGAGAAAACTTTTAACTGAGGGAGAAGGAAATTCTTTGATGTGTAACATCCTGAGAATGTCTCTCAGCATCCAGTAAGTAGTGTCCAAAACACCTTTTCCCCAAAACATTTTTAAAAAAAATAATAGAGTTTCTGACCATCAGACTATTCTGAACAAGGGTTCATTCTCTCAAAAATTAAACCAGGATATTCCCCTCTGCAGGGAAATTCCTGGTAGTCTGGCATCGAGTTTCCAAACCTGGTAGGATTACATCCAGGCCTGGATGGTGTGCATTGAAATCTCCATTGTGATACATTCAGCTGACACATGGTTTCAATGAAGTATCACAGAATTTATAGATTCTTCTGGCCACCAACTTGAAAGCTTAAAAATTGCTGTGAGGTAATTCAACCCTGTAGCTCCTGACTGCACCTGTAGCAGCTCTTCTCGGGAGCTGGAGTGGCCCTGGAATCCTTCATGGAGAAGGCAAGCACGAGCCTGTGGCTCCATGCCCTCTCACCTGTCATTTGGCCCCTTGCCAGCTGGAAGGTGAGCCAGCCCCTTGCACCAATTTTTGGGTAATTTCAGGGGATTTGACCCCTCCCTGTGAGGGTTTGGGATTGTTCCTGGCTTGGCAGTTTGCACCCCAAGGATGCCCTGTTATGAAGCATGGGAAGCACAGTGTTAATCCAGTGTGTTCCTCAATGTCTCCTGTGTTCCTGACAGAGGCCAAATGTTTGTGGGAAAGAAATAAATTATTGTGAACTGAGTAATCTTGGAATAGTTTGCCCACAGGGAAAATTTTTTTCCTTACCCCCATTTAGGATCTGGCTTGTGCCTTTGTGTGAGAGGGTTTCTGTCCTTTCCAGAATTCTGGATTTTATTATTATTATTTAATCCTTACTAATGTAACTCTGGGTACTTTAATCCTCTTAAGGGTTTGCTGCTGACTTTGGGCTCAGTCCTGCTCCCTTTTCAAGGAATTTTGCCATTAGACACCTTTAAGTAGAGTTCTGATGTAAATTGAAGCTGATTTTACTGGCAGCTCTGTCCCTGGCTGTATATACCTCTGTAAAGCTGTAACCTGTGTGCAAGGCACAGTTCCAGTGGGGAGGAGAGGGGGGTCTGTGCTCCTGTCTCCAGCCCTGACTCTGCCTCTCCTCACTGCCAGTCTGGAAGGAATCCTCAAAAGATGCCAAAGGCTCAGGTCAAAGGAATTGTCTGTGAGCCTGCGCGGGGAATGTTCTGCCAGCTTAGGAAGCCATAAATGTGTTCCTTTCCATCTAGGTGCCCCTCTGGCTGCGGAAAGGGAGAAGAAGCCTCTCTCCAGAGCTGTCTTTGTGCTGCCCTGGGTGGAATCCACAGAAACAAGTGAGGGTCCCAGATGTTTTGTTTTTTTCCCTGATGTATTGTAAGGAAGCATTAGCTGCACTCTGGGTCTTCCAGGGAGGCTGCTCAGGTAGAGTGTGCCCTGGACACAGCTTGGAGAGGTGTTTCCCAGTGGGAAGCATGCAGCATGTTCCTCAGAAAATGCCATCCTTTCCTGTTTCTTTGCATCAGGTGGATTAGTCATGGGGGCTGGCTCTTCCTGAAGAGTGCTGGTGTTGCTCATGGTTCCTTCCTGTGAGGCAGATATCCCAGGAAAGGTGATGCTTTTTCCAGGCACTGCCACAGAGTCATTCCCCAGCTCCAGCCCTCTGGGTTTGTCCCAGCAGGACTTGAGCATCTGCCAGCAGATTTTCAGGAAACAAGGAATGTGAAACCAAGGATCAGACCAAGTCATCAACTGTCCTGTGATCCACTGGCCAAAGCTGGAGGGGTGATGCTGATCCCTTGTGGTCACTTAAACACCACTCAGAAACCCTTTTTTGGGGCCAGAAACATCACAGCCTCAAATAGAGAGGTGACATAAAGGTATTGCAGCTGTAAGAAATCCAGTGCCCCACCCATGCTCCTGAAGTTTATGTTTGGGAAACCTCATTTGCCAAGGTGAATGAGTTATGTGGAATTGTCATAGAATGTAGGATTTAGAATAGAATTCCTTATGTTGGGTGCTTCCTTTGCCATTCCCAAACCTACTGGTGCAAAGGAGCCACCCTGATCATGGAGCAGGACAAGCAGTGCTGTCCACACTGCTCTCTTCTAATCTTCTTGCTTTTATCCTGACTGGGACCTGCAGCACTTCTGGATGTTAGGAAGAATTCAGAAGGCTGTTGTGATCTGTTTACATTCAGCAGTTTTGCTCTTCCATATGTGGAGACTGTCCCTGCTAGACAGCTGTTCCTGTAGTGCTCTGCCAGAGTGGGATCAATAGGATTCCAGGGTGTCTGCTGAGTGCCAGTAGCCGAGAGCTCCTCTATCAAGTACCTTTTATGGCTTCTGCCTTTTGAAAGCTCAGTGTGAATTCTGGGCCAGGTGAAATTTGTTCTTCACCTTGGACAGGTCCTTGAGGAGCTCCTGAAGCTGCTGTGGGGAGAGCCCATCGTTTGGGACTCTGTGGGCTGTGCTGGCAGCACTGCAGGGATGTCAGCTGGATAGGGCTGTTTCCAGTCTGGGTTTCTGGGATGCTGTGCAGAGCTCTTGGAGCCCAGTGGGAATCAGTTTGTACCCAGCTTTTGTGGTATTCCTGCACTTAGGAGGGCGGGTTAGGTGATCTGTATTTCTAGCTGTATTTTTAGTGATACAGAACTCCTGACCTTTCAACACATTTCTGATTGCTTTTATTCCCTTCCTGGGTTTCTAAAGGAAAATCCACTGAGGCCAAGTGTCCTAAGGAAAGAAGTGTCTCGTTTTGGCTGCCACTGCTGGGCAAGTGTTCTCTGCCTTCTCTTTCCTGCCAAAATGAAATATGTGCTTCCTTCTCTGGGGAATATGTGAATCAAACCAACAAAAATTCTCCAAATCTTGAATGCAGGATCTGGGAAGAGAGCTGAGCTCAGCCCTGGGGCACGAGGTTCAGCCAGTCTCAGTGAGTGCTGGACACACCACTGGAGCCAGCTGGCAGCAGCTCCTGGAGATGGGAGAGAAGAGCAGCTCATTCTCTCTCCTTTATTGGGGTCCACTTGCAAGCAGAGTGGTCAAAACTTCTTTCAGACCCTATAGAGTTATTTCTTGGGGTACTTGAAAAACCTGCTGATTTGCCATCTGAGTGTGCCAGTCCTTCATAGCTGAGGAACTGCCTTGTAACGAGGCTGTGCCTTGCCTTTTCTACTACTAGCAAGATAAGGTGCTCTATTAAGGTTTATTAAGGTGCCTGTGTGTTAAAGATGAATTGTGAGCTGATTAAATAAGTACAGCTGGTACTCACTAGACCTCTCTCTGGAATCCCTGCTCCTGTTGGAAAGGCTTCTGAGCATGAAGGACAAAGAGGAGTCTGGGGTTTGAGCAGATGTCTTTGGAGCATTTTGAAGGTCTGTGTTTGCAGCAGGGTCATTGCTCAGCTGGCAGCAAGGATATGAATACCAGTAAGGGCCAGCACTGACCCCATGTGCTGGGGGCCTGAGCAGTGTCCTTCCCTGCCCTGATAGTGCCTGCTGGTGTGGTTGTGCTTTGGGGGGAGCCTTAAGGTGCAGCCCCTGATGACAGCAGAGACTTTGAATCTGAGCAAACTTGCCTAGGTAGTGTTAGCTGTCTGGATCCACCTCTGCAGAGGTTTAGGGATGGTTTCAGTGTGGGTTTGCAGCCACACCTGAGCACCTGGAGTCCCTTGCAGCTCTTCCCATGGCAGTGTTACAGGTACTGATATTGTGCCCCAGCTGGATACCTTGGGGTAGGAGTTATAACCCACAGCAAGAAAACTTCCCTGGGACAGGTTCCCTGTGGGCACAGCCTGACAGTGCTCAAGAAGCGTTTGGACAATGCTCTGAGATTGTTGGGGTGTCTGATCCTTGTGGGTCCCTGGCAGCCCAGGAGATTCTGTGATTCTTAAGTGCTACTGCAGGGCTGGTTCTGCCCGGGGAGATTCTTGCTGAGAAAGCAGTGTCTGCTGGGATCAGTGCTGGGTGTGTTGGAAGACTGTCAGCAGAGATGGCTGTGCTGGCTAAGGAGGGCGGGATCTGACTCTTGGGAGCAGCCTCAGCAGGGACTGCTGTTCAGAGAGGTAAAGCTTGGCTGCACATGGACAGCCCTTTGTGAATTCTCTGTAAAGCTGTCTCTGAGGCTGGCCACTCCTTGCTGGGTGCTCTCTCCTACAGAGCCCAGGAGATCAGTGCCAAGCTGAACCAGCTGGAACAAATTCTTACTTCTCTGTAATCCCTGGAGAGCCTTTGCCTGTGGGGACAGTCCCCTAACAACACCAGCAAGCCCCTGCTCTCTGAGGCTGTGCTGTTACACTTGTTACTTGTTCCATGCTCTCTGCACTGCCAAGGGAAGAAGTGCCCACACCCAGCATGGGCTGTGCTGGGGACAGTAAGATCCCCCTGTGTGACAGGGACCACAGGTAGCCGTGCCTGGCCCTGTGAAATGGTGTGTCAGTTAGTTTTCTTCTATTCTAACAAGTCTTATTACTTACTGAGCTCTTCCGAACTAAGTTCATAATAGTTTGTTCTCTCAACATGAAAAGTGCCTGGTCTTTGGGACAGCTTTGAAGAGTTAATCTTCAGTTGATCCTGTAGAGCTCATTCCGCTTCAAAAAGGAGGTTGGTTTCTTGGTTTGGGGACACCCACCGAGGTGGGACTGATGCCAAGTTAGGAGTCTCTGCTACTTGACTTGCTAATTGAGGGGGGGGGGTTTGCAACAGCTACACAGATACTCAGCAGCAATCATTGATCCTCTTCATTGTGGGAGAGGGCCCAGGGTAGAGGGAGACCCTCAGCACTGTTTTGTGGCCACGGAAGGAGCCTGCACAAGATCACATAATGGAACAAACACAGTTCAGTGTGACTTGCCAGTGCTTCTGCCCCTGGAATGTTCTTACAGGTGTGTTCTGCTGCTCCTCCTCCTCTCCCTCCTCCACTCCCTCAAGCACTGTCTGTGCAGAGAGTCCCTTTCTCCTTGCTTGTCCAGCCTAGACTTCTAAAAACCCCTTAACTCCAGTTTTGCCCTGCTGTGCTCTGATTAAGATACAAATATTTTTTTAGTGACAGAAGTAAAGTTCCAGTGCCCAGCTGTTTAACACTGTTTAGATTTGGCAATTTTCTCTGCTAGATCATCATAGCTTCTACAGTCACTTTGAATAAAGGGTGACAGTGATCCTTTATTTAGTGCTGACTCTACGTGCTGCTGGACTGAGCAGTGAACCCAAGTGAGTGATAACACTGTACCAATATATCATAGCTTAAAATAGGGAGTAATTTTAAAAGCAAAGTGATGGAGAAGTAAAATGAAAGCTTACTTAATGTACACAGTCTGGTGTGTTTGAACACAGCGTGGAAGAGGTAAAAACAAAGCTTTAACTTTGCTGATAGTAGGGATACATGGATACAGCTACACTGCTGCAGGGGAGCTCCCTGAATGGTAGGTCCTCTGTGGAGCCCTGGGAGCTGCTGCCTGCACTCCTTGCTCCTGCTGGGAAGGAAACACACTGGTTTCAAGATCCTTTGTGGCTGTACAAACCGATGTGTTCCACTGTGTTTGCCCTGGACTTTATTATGTTTGCCACTTTGCTGTGGGCTCACAGCACCAAGCCATTGGCCTGGGGTTGTCTGACAGGTGGGGTGACTGCTCAGGAAATGCACCCCAGGGTGTGTCAGGCAGCAGAGGGGGAAGCACCCCACCAAGCTGACCAGGAAATCTTCCTCATGCACTGATGTGATAGCTGAGCTAAAGTGATAGCTGAGCTAAAGACACTGATCCCCATTCAGAACAAACCAGATTAGTAAACACTTGGAGATATTTTACATCTGTCTGCCCCACACAGCTGTGGTGAAGGGTTGGTTGATGCTGGGATGAAGTGATGGATATGAAACCAAGCTTCATCAGCCCTCCCTTCACTGAGCACCTTACTGTCCTGGATGCCTTGGGCTGTTGGTCTCCTGGGTTTGTTGGTTCTGACAGATCCTGGGTGCAGATGGGAATCAGTAAAGAGTAGCAGTGAGAAGCAGGAGTGTGCTCACATCCAGCCTATGTTAAAGTTGGTGTATTAAGGCTTTGGTTTCTATCAACTTATATCAGCTCTGTGCTTAGTTCTGCCCCTTTGTCCCAATCCTGACCAACAGCTGCTTGTCCCTGAACTTGCTGAGCCCTGAACTTCCAAACGAGATGCCAGCAGGGCCTGCTGCCCTGCATCCTCATTGCTGTGGGGGTCTGCCCTGGAGAGCAGAGCTCTCTGAAGAGGAAATAAATCAGAATATGCCCCAAGCCATAGAGTGTGGGGCAGGGGGAACAGTGTTGCAGTGGTTGTTTGTGTGCCTTAGAGACCTGACAGAGCATGTGGGATGTGTCAGTGCATGGGGGTGTCTGATTGACCAGTGTAGTTGGAGTGCTTGCTTTTCACCTCAGAGTTTCTAAATTGATTGTTTTCTTCTTCCTACAGACAATTTTAGGTACACGTGTGACATCTGTGGGAAAAAATATAAATACTATAGCTGCTTCCAAGAGCACAGAGACCTACATGCCGTGGATGGTGAGTAATGTTTTGACACTCAGACACCTGAACTAGGCTGAGAAGTCTTTGGGGGAGCAAAATGTGGCTCTGCAGGAGCGTGTGGCCTGTGCTGTGCAGGACGTGGCACTGCATGGGTCACCTGTCTGTGCCATGGAGGCACAGTCTACAGGCACTGCAGGAAGAAGTTTGCTGTGCCTGATTCTCTCTGTGTGCATAAAAACAACACCTGTGCTGGGACCAGGGGACCTTGCAGTGTGTCTGCAGTGAGGTTCATGGTTAGGGTGGAGATCCTGGGACTGAGTACCTCAAGGTAAATGGTCAGCCTGATTATTTGCTGGGAAGAAGTTGGTTGCTTTTTGGTTTCTGAATTTACAGGTTTGTTCCCAACATACTTCTCTGTGAAGTACTTCAGATTTCAGAGTTGGGAACTTTCATTTTTCTTGATGACTGTGATGAAGTTGTTGGTGGCCCTTAAAGGGTGACTGTATATGTGGCCTATGCTGGTGACACTTGGACAGAAGCAGTGTTTCTTTATTCTGCCTTGGGGAAAATGAAATATCAACATGCTGGCTTACCCCCTGCTTACTGAATATCTAAAGCTCCTCACCTGGGAGGCCACAAATACTCCAGACCTTCCCTGTGTGTGCTGCAAGCCTGACAGTACTGCTCCTCACTTAGCCAAGGAGAGTTCTAGAAAGAGGCTGCTTGGAGAGCAGCAGGTTTTGAATGGCTGGGCTGTCTCAGAAAAGCAAGTGTTTTTTCACATGGTTGTCCAAAAAAAATGGTTGTGTTTACCTGGAATGTGTGGGCATCTGAACGTGCTCTAAGGACAGCCAGTGTTCTCCTGTAGGGCACCACTGCCAGCTCCCTTCCTCCTGTGGGGAGCCAGAAGAAAATTAGTGGCACTGACAGTCACTGTGAGGGGAATGTGGCTGCCTCAGTGAGAAATGTCTCAGGGAGCTCTGCCGAGGGCCACAAGAAGGCTTGGAAAAGGCTCCATGTGTGTGCAAGGAGTGTCCCAGCTCCTCCCTGGGGCTGCTGTGTTCCAGCACATGCAGGGGTGAGGCACCTGTGCACCTGAACTCCACCTGGAGCCATGTCAGGGTCAGAACAAAGGCCTTGAGCATCTGTGTGTATTAGGGCTGGGCATGCTCAACCAGGTCCTGTGAGGATGCTGCTGGGAAGAGGAGGAACTGGGGCACAAAGCCTGGTTTGTTCAGTGGGGCTGAAATGTGCTGCAGCAGTATGTGAAATGCAGGAGGAAAACAAGACCATTTGAGAGGATTTAATTTCTGTTCTGTTTCTTCCCCTCCTTCTTCTATTCTGTGTTAGTTTTTAGTGTGGAAGGGGCCCCAGAAAACCGGGCAGGTAAGCCGAGCTCCTTTGTGTGCTTTATTTCACAAACCTTTTCGAGCATTCAGTAGTTCAGACACAGCAGGTCGATTCTGAACTTGTAAGAGTCAAAAGAGTTTTGTCAGGGATTGCAGTGGGACAGGGAGCATCCTCTCTCCCTCCCCAGTGTCTACAGCCAGTAGGTTGATGCCCAGCCCTAGCAGATACCAGGCTTTTGTTGCACATACGCTTGGTCAGGCTTCAGACAATCAAAGAAGCAGGTGTTTCCTCTCTGTAGTGATCTTGTAAATTGTTCAAGGCATGCACCAAATTCTTCTCTAAAGTGGTTGGGTTGTGATTTGTTGCTAGCTGTGCTGTTAGCTGATAGAAATCCCAGGCTGGTATTTGATAGGTGATGTGCCTGCAGACTGCATTGCCGTGCCCACTGTCAGCCAGTTCAGCAGCATTAGAGGGGAGATTCCCTGGAAGAAAATCAGGAAATATGGATCAGACTTTGCAATGTGTTCATTCAGTTTTTCTCTGCATTTTTTAAACATTAATTCCCACAAGGCCTGTTAGTGGGCTGGGAGCAGGGGTAATCCTGGGGCAGCTGAGGAAGAGGAGGAGGGACAAGTCAGACAGAGGGGTCACTGGTTTATCATTCCTGTTTTCCAATCCTGTTACAGATGGAAATGTGATTACAGGTGCAGGAGCATTCAATGCCCATGCAGCTGTAGAAGGCAAAGCTGAGGTGTTGTCAGCTGTCCTCTGGTTCTGTTCTCTTGCAGACCCCTATGACCAGGCCGTCATCGCCGCTGATGAGGTGAAGGAGGAGGAGCCTGAACCCTTCCAGAAGATTGGGCCAAGTAAGAGTTATTTTTGTTTCAAATAAAAAGGAAAGCTCAGGGGTTCACTGCCTTTGGTTGCAGTACCTCTAGAGAAAGCAGGAAGCACTGTTACACAGCAGGGCTGGGATTTGGGTACTCACAGGTATGTTCAGGCTCAAAGGAGCATCAAACACCAACAGCCGTGGCCCTAAGAACTGCAGCTTTGTGATGTGTTCTGCTCAAGAGCTCTGCAAAGAGAAGGGGAGAGGAGTTCAGGGAAAAGCAAACTGGCAGGGATGAGAGAGGGCTTGAAGGTGCACTGAGAGCTGGCAGGTGATTCATTCACACTGCCTTTGTGGTGGGTCCTCAAACAGAGCGGAAGGAAACAGAGAGAACACCAGATTTTGCCAAAGCATTTCCCTGAATTTTCCATTTTGGAATAATTTGATTATCCATGGATTTTCCTTCATCTTGCAGCTTGTTGGCAGTTCTGTACTCCCAGCACTGGCAAGAGGAGGAGGTGCCAGTGTGTGGTTACACTCCATTATTTCCATTATCCCCAAAGCAGGAATGAGCAGAGTTACTCCAAGCCCCTTCTCCTGCAAGAGAACTCCACAATCCCAAATAAAAGTTCTCTAATACTTGAACCTGACTGTTTGTTTCCTGGTCTGACTATTCCTGTTGTCCATCCCAGGCCTTCTGTAACCAGAGGACAGATCTGTGTCACCTGTAATACAGACTTTAGAACTGGATTCTCTCCCTTGTTTTGCACACTTGCTGTAATTTTGGCGTAATCTTCTGAAGTTTGTTCAGTTCTGCTGGACTTCTTATGCATGGTCCATCCCTCTGCTTTGAACTGTTTCCTTTCATGGGAAAAGGATGTGTGGATTACAGGACAGGCAAATTCCACATGCATGAGGAATGTTTGTGTGACCTGACCAGCTTCTCTGTAAAAAGGAACTGAGGGTTGTGTAAGAGGGCTGGCCTCCTGCCTGACCTTTGTCCTTGTTCATTTCACAGAAACTGGCAATTACACCTGTGAGTTCTGTGGCAAGCAGTACAAGTACTACACTCCCTACCAAGAGCATGTGGCTCTGCACGCCCCCATCAGTGAGTATTGCTGCAGGGCTGGCCCTCTGCAGGCTGGCACCTCCACGGCTCTGGGGAGTACCAGGCTGCCAGGACAGACTTCCCTCTTGGGGATCCTTCCCCTGGAGCTGTGGGATTACAGTGAGCAGGACACAGATCATGTGCTGAGCACTGCTGAGCTGAGCTGGGATCCCTTCTCACAGTTCACTGTTAGGTCTGGAATGTCTCTGAGCTCCTACCTCAGCCCATGGAATTCTACACATATTCCTTGTGGGGTTGATGGTTTAGGCTCTTGTTTAACTGAGGAGATGCACAACATTTTTATACTCCCCTAAATAACAACTGAACATACATGTTAGAGAAGAAGCATCTTTCTATGAGCTTCTGGGGAATTGTTTCAGGCAGTGAGTTAAAACTGGTTTCAAAATAATTTAAGTGATCTCAGCAGCTTGCTACTGAATCACACTCAATAAATGATTTATTTCAGGGAGCTCAGGACAAGGCAGTTGTCAACAAACTGCACAGCACTGTGGTCTGCACTCCCCACACAGAGGGGAGGAGACTTTAACAAACAGTTCAGTGGAATTCAGTGCAAAATTTTACTAAACACATTGAGAGAAATCTTTGCTATCTGCTGGATTTGAATACTTTCAAAGTCTGCAGAGAAGTTCTTTACAGCTGAACTTCCTGCTCCCTTCCCAGCTCTGCCCTGAGCTTTGCTGGGTGCCCGGGGTGTGCTGCTCCAGGGTTTGGGGTGATGGAGAGGAGGATGAGGGATGGGATGAGGGACGAGCCGAGCTCATCAGCCTGCAGCTGCAGCCGCCAGGGGGCGCGTCCACCCCAAAATCCCCGGGAATCGCATTTTTAAGGGATTGCAGTGAGGCACCCTTGGGTTTATGGGAACATGGTCCACCAGAGTGTCACTTTTAAGGTTTGGTGGCTCTTGACAGGTGCCATGCAGGTTCTCTGCAGCTTGGATATGGACCATGGTAGAAGGTGCAGGGCATAAAAGACGTGTCCTACATCAGCATCACAAAGCTAATCTTGTTATCTGCCATCTGCTGAAGGACCTGCCCCAGTGCTTGGGTTGCCTGCCCATGGAAGCTCCACCTCTTCACCGAGGTGTTTTCAGCCTGAGGGCTGAAAACATTGGTGACCAGCAGCGGGTCCATCTCCTGCCACAGAGGGGCCCTTGGACAGCAGGGCTCTGGGGTCCCTGCTCCCCCTGCAGAGAGCTCAGAAGCAGTGTGCAGTGAGCACTGAGCTTTGCTCAGCTCTAGCTAATTTTTACCTTCCCAGTGCTTCCCATTTCAAGGTGATTTATTGCCACTGATGTCTTCCACCTTCCCAACCAACTGTAGCAATAGCTGAGCTGCTGGTTCTGGTCCAGGCTCTCGAGCAGAAAAGAAACCCCAGCTGTGTTTCTCTGGGAGGAGTGTGCCTGCAGTGGGCCCTACAGTTCCAGTGCCCCCCCTCCCAGGCCCTGCCCCAGTTCTGCAGTAGGAGGCATGTTCTGAGTGCTGAAGCCATTCTTGCACTATCATTTCTGCAGCAAAAGAAAAGAAGCTGCCCCTGCTGCAGGTTGGATCAGAAGGCCCTGAGCTGGGCAGATGGGTTTCCAGTCCTTTCAAGTATCTTTAACTGTGAGGACACTCAAGATCAGATCAAGATAATATTTTCCTAAGGTTTAACCCCCTCCCCATAAACTTTTCTTTTTCCCTTTTTTTTTTAAACCTCTTTTTTCCTCTCCTAGTTCCCATGACCTAAGATTTATGATTTTCAATGACAAGCCACTAACCCTGATGAGGATATGGGAGAGGGCATGATGATCTCCCAAGGCAGGCTGGCCAGTCCATCTTCACACCTTTCTGCTGCTCAGACTCTGTTCTTCCCAAAATCCAAGGTCCTGTGAGGCAGCTGTTTGAAAAGCATAGCTGGCTTTTCTTTGGTCCTTGCAGTCAGAAGAAGTAAAGCTGAGACTGTGTCTTTACCCTGGTCTCATTCTTCTGGTTATAAGGCAAATGCTGAAAATTCAGTCATAGTGGAAATGGGTGAGGAAAGCCCTTCAGCATCACCAGTTCAGCTGTCTGGGTCTCTTCTGGAGTGCAAGCTTCCCTTCCAGAGCCTGTGTTTCTGGCTTTCTGTCATAATGAATGAAAAGTCATTGAAAATGGGTAAAACAAGGAATTATATCCTGCAGCTTCAATAGCATCTTGCAGGATAATTTCTGGTCTGAGCTGCTGGATAGCTGCTGTCTGGAAAAGAGCTCTCCTGTGAGCTTCCCTGGAATTGTTAATGCCAAATGTCTCCTTCCAAAGTTCCTTTTCCTGAATGAGGAGTAGGGGCTTTTTCATAAGATTAGAACTGGGCTATGACTCTTAAAAATAATATTGTTATGCTGTTTCTGTCAACATATTCACTCTTTCGAAGAAGGCTGTCAGAGGCCGTTTCCTAAAAATAAAAGTGGATAGTAGGCACATTCATTGTCCCAGTTTTAGAAACATTTCTGAGTGAAGATTCATGGGGGAGGGTTCTGAGATGTTCCTGCCCTCCTTCAGGCTCTGGCTGCTCTGTAAGATGGAGCTGATTGAACCACGTTTGCTGGGGCTGGGCTGTTGGCATTGTTTAGGATGGAGAGAGAATGTTCAGGGCATGAAGTGACAGAACAGAGGGATTGGCTTCACACTGTTAGACGATAGGGTTAGATGGGATTTTGGGAAGAAATTCTGAGTATCCAGTTAGGAATTGGGTGGGCAGGCCCTGGCACAGGGTGCCCAGAGCAGCTGGGGCTGCCCCTGGATCCCTGGCAGTGCCCAAGGCCAGGCTGGACAGGGCTGGGAGCCGCCCGGGTCCCTGCCCACAGCAGGGGGGTTGACAAGATGATCTTTTAGGTTCATTCCAACCCAAAGCAATCTGGCATTCTGTGACTCTGTGATGAGTTTACAGTGCAGAGAAGACCTGGGGCACCTGGGATGTGAACTGGTTATGAATGCACCAGGAGTGGGATTGAGCTTGGTGAGTCAGGCTCAAGGGTGTTCATTCACCTCTGCCTGGTACCTGCAGATAGAGCCTCAGACTCCTGGGTCATGGAAATGTGGGGAGAGAGCCCTAAAACCAGCACAGCCCTCCATGGCTCTGCTTCCAGGATTGAAATCTAAAGTCATGTCAGGGCCCTCAGAGTACCCGGAGCTCTGAAAGGCCCTGAGCAGCCCCACATGGGGCTGTGCCCACAGCCACACTCCTGCTCCAGCCCTGCTCTGAGCCACACACCTGCCTGAGGTGCTCTGTAGGATGCTGGTCTCAGTTCAGTTGTGCATGTGCACATGCCTGGCTGTGGGTCCCAAGGGTTTGTACCCCAACCCACAACTGAATTCTCACCTTGATGTCAGTCAACCCTGTCTGGACACCCTGGACCTCGCTGAGGATCACTGGTCCTGGTTAACCTCACCAGAGCTGATCCTGCTGCTGACCTGTGGATTGACTTGCCAGCCTGGCCACACACCTCTCTCATTGCCATGAACTTCCCTATGACCCTTATGATGGAAGCTGGCTGTCACCTCTGGGCCTTGCTCCCTTCTCTCAGGGTCTTGGGATGGGCCTTTCCATCCCTGGGATCATTTTTGGCTCTCCAGGGGACAGACAGACCCACCCTGACACCTGAGATGCTCAGGTTCATCAAGGCTTGCTGCTCAATTCCTTCCTGTATTGGATGCACACTGGATACAATTTATTCATCCAAAGTGCTTAAATGCAGTGTTTCATTGAGGCAGCAGCCATTTTGGTAGTACAGCTGGTTTCCACACACAGACCCTGCCTAGCCAGGAAGAAAACAGCTCCAGATTCCAGCTGGATGGTGTATCTTTGTTTCCACCAGTTCAGTGAGAGAAATCTGTGAGTTCAGGTGCTTTTCCCAGTCTGATCCCATAGTGTTTTAACAACAGGCTCCACCTGTTTGTGTGTATAAAGATACACATTAAAAATTTGATAGGTTTGAGCAGAGGGGTTTTCCTGTGGAAAGACCTCTTTGCCACAGCCAAGGTGTCTGCTCAGAGTATGGAATTCCAGGCCATTGTTAAGGAATCATTTTCCAACACGTTCAGTGAAGACAGTTTTTTCTCCATAGGTGGCTGTATAATTCCATCTGAATCTCCAAAATGGTTCCCTACCCATCCTGACTATATCTTTCTAAAGAAATACCATACACAAATTATTAACCAGAATTTTTACCTGGAAAGAGTAATGTTGCTGGGACAATGTGGTCCCTGTTGTGGTGGTGCATTGTGGTAGTGTGTGGATTTGTGTGCCAGATTTTCTCCTTGTTGCCACAGCTTTTCAATCACAGTACTTTAGGGTCTTCCCAAATCCAGGAAAGTCAGGAGGGACCACTGTGATCTCTGAACTGCCTGGAGAAACACATTCTGTAGGATTGCCAGGATTGAATTGCACACAGATGTGCTTTAGAGAGACATCTAATCTTGCTTTTGAGTGACAGAAAATGCAGCAATCACATAAGGTAATTATTTTGATGAATTATTGCCTCCACTAAATTAAGACTAAAATTATCCAGCTGTAGCTTTGAGCACTGGGTCTTATTTATAACCTTGTGTGAAGGAGGACTAAGTTACTGAGCTTCTGTCCTTTCTAGACCTGGCCTAGCCTGCTCTCCAGGCCCTGGTTAAATCACAGGAGTGACTTGTGTTTCCATTGTAAGCTCTGCTGTTCTTGGCCCTTGGTTATCCTCTTGTCTCCTCCTCTGAGTGTTCTCCAGTCTGTTCTCCACCTTGGGCAGGGCAGGCACCATCAGTGTGAGGGTCAGGAAGGATCTGAGAGCTGGCACTGACTTCCTGATCCCCATGGAAATTCCTGATTGCTCCCCAAGGAGCACCTCAGCCTCTTCAGCCTCAGAGTCCCCCTGGGAGCTCCTCTGCAGCCAAGCACAGCAGTGACCGAGCTTTTCCTGCTGTCAGGCTGGAGCCCCTGCTGTTCCCAGCATCTCCTGCATCAGGTGTGTCCTTCAGCACAGCCTGGGCCATGCTGCAGGGCTGCAGCACAAAGCCCTGAGCTGACTGACTGCAGACCCTGCAGTGAGAACCACCCTCCACATCACTGCAGCTTCCACTGGGACGGGTCTCTGCTGCCTTCTGAGAGGGTTTGAAAAGCTCCACAGTGGCAGTTATGAGGTCAGCTGCCCATGGTGCTGTCTCCAGTCTTGCTGCAGATTTTGAGGCAGGAGGTTTTTTGTGGCCATTCAGCAATTCAGGATTTTCATTTTTAGAAACATCTTGGCCTTTTCATCAGCCTGAGGCTGTGAGTTTCACAGTGAAGGTGACTTTTCCAGAGTAGAGCAGAGGAGCTGTGTGATGCTTTCTACCTGTGTTGCTCAGCCTTCAGAAGGAATTTGGCATCTGATGAACTACAGACTGAACATTTTTTTTCCAGTGAACTGTTAGCTTCCTCCAGACTTCTAGAACTGATGTTCCTTTGTCTGTCTTGCATTGCTGCTCAAAACTCTCTCTGCCTAGTGTCAGCTGGAGTAGTCTTCTCTGTGGGGTCTCAGTTTGAAGACATACTGTTTGTTTCATTTGGGAGGAAGAACAAGAAATTTTGGAGGTCATCATAGCATTGAGACTTCTGTCTTCAGGTCCCAGAGCAGTATCTGGGCTGCAGAGGATGTGCAGTGATGCTCTCTGTGTCTGGCACTGAAGAGTTGCTGATGGCTGTTTCTCATGGCATTGATGGGGAATAAAGCAGACATTGGTGGGAATGATCCTCATGGAAAGCAGACAATCCACAAGCTGGAAAATTTCATATCTGACTACATTTTTGCTGGCAGTTTGGCAGCAGCTGGAGGAGGATTATCCATGGAGATTGAAAGGAAGCATAGAGAGCAAAACAAGCCTCCTGCCTATTTATCTAGCTGGAAACCAAGCAGAGAAGTATCCTGACTAAACTATGAGAAAACCAGTGCATAATTTCCTGCAGAACTACACTGACATGTAGGAATTGTCAGCTTGGGGCTGTGTGTCAGAGCAAGTGAATCAAAACCCCTGGAAACTGCAGTGTGAATGTTGTGAATGTGCAATTGTGAATGACACACTCCCAGTCCCCAGTGCTGCTGATGAAGGTGAGAGCCAGTCACAGCCAAGGTCTGTAAAGTCTCCTGGGATTTTGGAAATGAGCATCCTGTCCCAGCCTATGGGACTTCTCCCCTGTTTCAGAGTTAGGCTGTGGTGCTGCCATGGCCATCCCCTGAGAGCTGCTCAGTGTGGATGGGTATTTCTCACTCACACTGTGTAGGATGTGTAGGTGCTGCTGTTGTCCCTCCACCTTTAGGCATCCCACAGTATCACTGTAGAAATCACTGGTAGGGAGCTGGGACTCTGGGTTGGTTAAACCTTCTTTGTTAGTGATTTTTCATGACAGGTGATTGGAGTGGGGCTGGGGCTTCAGGGCCCATATCCAGATTTCCATAGAAGAGGCTCCTTAGGAGTGAAGGGGGTTCTCAGACAGTTTCTCCATTTTTGTAATGGTTTATTTAATCCATGTGGCCCAGACAAAGGGCTGTCCTCCTGAAGGTGTTTCAGATGACTTTTGGCATTGACAATTCCTGGTGATCCTCACTGTGTGCTGCAGAGACCAAAATACGGATGCCTTCAAAGAGCATATCCCAGTAATATTCAGAATTTCTCCGTATGTCACCAGTCTGGAGATGGGAGCAAAAGCCTTTACTCACTCTGCCTCCTAATTCCATTCCATTCCATTCCCAACAGCGCCCTTTTCTTTGTATTTGGTCAAAGAGACAAGGAATGTAGCTGGAGATCACTAGGATTTATTCAAGGCTCAAAAAAAAAAAAGATGTTAACTTCTCTCAGACATCTGAGTAGTTTAGAAACCTGTTCCCAATCCATAGAAATGGAGGCCAGAGCTGCTGATGCCCCCAGGCAGGCCGTGGCAATCACACAGTACTCCTGGATGGATGGGGTGATTCCTGCAGGAGCAGGGATGGGTTGGTTGTGTGGCAGTTAGAGGTGTGGAAGGGAACTAAGGAGCTTCACCAGTGTCCCCTGGGCTCGGGGGAGCCCAGCTCTGTGCCAGGGGCTCGGTGGATCACCAGCTCCAGCAGGCCCCGCTCTTGGAGCCCCCTGGCTGTGCAGGCACTAGTTCTGAGTGTTCATATCCAGAGTTCTCTCGATCTCCACTCTTCGTGGCAGTGAAGACACAGGCGAGCCAGTCCAGCAAAAAGTCCCCGGCGTCCATAAACCGCTGCTCCAGCCTCCTGCACCGCGCGCCCTCCGGCGTCCCGCCCGCCTCCCAGTCCCAGATGTTCCGCGCTCCCAATTCCGGATCCCCAGGAAGCAAGGCCATCACAGGTACCAACTGCCTTTCCGTTTGCTGAGCTGCTCAGTGTCCAGTCCTGCCCTGGATAGGCTTTTCGCCCTTCCTGGCCTCAGTCTCCATCCATGGCTGTCCCAGAGAAGCTGCTCCCAGAAGCAGCTCAGGGGATTGAGCCTTTATAATCCCTTCCCAGTGACAAGTTGTTTTTGTTAAACATCATGGTAACCACAAGGTGCAAAATACCCTGTTTCAAATCCTGGTGTCACAAACTGAGAAGAGCTTCCTGACAAGGATTGGTGTAATGGCTTGTCAGGAATGGGGATTTTTGCTTGGTTTTCAGCACTGTTTGGCATTTAGTGTTTGTTTCCCTCAAGATGATGTTCTCAGGGCTAGGCCTGTGCCTTTGGAAGTGAAATGGAGTTTTCAGGTGTTTTCACAGTGCTCCATTCCCCACAGGAATCTCCGAGAGATAAACAGAAAAATCAGTATTACAGAACTATTACTGAGAAGTTAGAAAATGCAAGTTAGGATTGATCATCCCATTGTCTCAGTTTCCTCCTGGAAAAGATCAAGCCTAAAAAAAATTAGAAGAAAGAAAGCAAAGACTGCTGAAAAATAACTGTTAATAATTAGGGTGTAAAACATAGTGTGCCATGTGCAGTCCACAGGGAAGCACCCTCTTAAGTCTGTGGGACTGATGGATAGAGATTCCATCTGGGTGCAGAAGAAGGGCTGGTCAATCAGTTGATGGTTAAACACTCCTAGAATGTCTGGCATGAACAGATGCTGAGTATGAGAGGTGGCTGTGGTGGGAGAGGCCATGGATGCTGAACAAGGATGGGTTTTGTTGGATAACACATACCCACAGCTGCCAAGGACTTGGTCCATACAGAGAATTTTACTTCACATTCAAAAGGTTCTAATACAAGGAGAGAGAACAGAGTGAGCTGCCCTCTCAGTGTGGGAAGGGCACAGTAAGACCAAGCAGGTGCATTAAACCAGATTTTTCTTACTGCCTGACTTGGGGGAGGTTTTGGGGGGGGAAGCTAAGGGATGAAGGCACAACCACCATGCAAATTCTTTATACAGGTCTTTGGACACCTCCATCTCACTTCCACTTGTGACATAAGCCAGGACTTGAACATGGGTCTCTTGGGAGGGATGGGTTGACCCAAACCGTGTTGTCACGGTCTGATTTTCCTGTTATTTAAGGCCTCTTGTTTCTATTATTTATCTCTCAAGTGGCCTAGGTAGATAATGTTTCCAGTTCCTTTTCAGCCCTGTTTGATGTATTTCTGTTTCAGTTGATTTGGTTACCAAGTTTGCTTGTTTTTCTGAATTTTAGGAGTCAGGAGTGTAGTTGATTGAGAGTTTGAGAAGCCTGCTCAGGACTTGGAAGGGTCCACTGAGCCAAAATCCACGGGCTGGGCTCTTCCTTCATTTGAGGTCTCTGGTAGCCCCAAAGCCCACGTGTGTGAGCCACGCTGCAGCTCTGGGAGGCTGCAGGGACCCAGGGCATCTGCCAAGTCCTGACAGTAGTTGTGACCACTCCAGTGGTCTGCAGTAATAAAATCATGGTCTGGCACCACTTTTCAGGAGTCCCCATCACTCCTGAATGAAAGACTTGTGTCCCCAGCCCTGCCCAGTCTGCAGGCTGGGCCCAGCAGAGCCAGGCCAGGTCATGTCCACATGAAGCCATGGGTGACAGTGGGCTCCAGAATGAGAGTGCAGAGCAAAGGTCTGTCCAGAACAGGCCACACACATTGCTTTGGCCAGTTTATTTTCTTTAATCTCTAGTTTATCCTTTGAGCCACCACAGTAAATCCATTTGCCTGGATATTGCAGACCCAGTGAAGTGAGACAGGACCTCCTTGCACTGTTGAGCTGGTGCTGAGGGACACCAGCTTGAGCAGGGTGGGAGGCCTCGAGCTGTGCAGGGATGCTTCAGGACTCTGTGGCCACTGCCAGGGGCAGGAAGCACCTGGATGCCCTGGAGGAGCCTCCCAGTGCAGTCACTGGGATCTGCCCTGTGCTGTGGCTGGAGTGGGCAGAGAGGGCCCTGCCAGGAGCAGGACCTGGGGGGCTCAGGGAACAAGGGCACTGTTGGGAAGCACAGAGCCAGAGGATCTTCCACAGCTTTTCCAGACATGGTGGGCAGGCCCTGAGACAACCCTTCAGGCCTCTGCTTCAACAGTTCCAGAAGAGTGTTTAAGAAGGGAGTACTTTTCTTGTACTGGGAAGCACAGTGCTTTTGTAGGTGACACTTTGGTGTGGTGCTGAGGCCCCGAGCTCAGTCTCAGACTGGTCACCTGTGCTCACAGGAATTAAGGGCTGCTTGTTGCCTTAAGGACGAGTAAGGTAAGGGTTGGGGTTTTTTGCAGGGGAAGAAGACATGACCTTTCTGGTTCAGTCAGGACTGGTGTTCATAGGCTCCCTAAGAGCCAATCCAGGCCACCTCAGCCAGAAGGCATTCAAGAAAAATACCCGGCTGTTATCCCTTCACTGAATCTGGCCCATTTGCCTCCAAAATGAAGTATTTGACCTTTCTGCTGTATTCAGGGTCTGTGATTATGTGGCACAGGAGCATGCCTTGCCTCCTGTCTGCCTGATTCTGCATCCAGTGTTGACCAGTCACCATTCCTGCTTTGTTCTCCACCCAGCAGAAAATGCTTTCAGCAGAAGAGTGGAAGGCAAAGTGCAAAACAACTTTGAAGAAACAAACAGCAATTCCCAGAACTCCAGTGGTAAGTGTGGTCACCCTTTCCTGCTGCTTCCATATTCCTCTCCAAGCAGGATCCAGCTGTGCTCAGGGAATGTTGATGTATTATGGGGTACCTTGTTTAAGCTCACAGGCAGCCAGCCTTCCTGGGGTAGTGCCTTGTTCTCCCTCCTCCCCAGGCTCCTGGCACCCCAGCCCTGTCAAACAGGCCATGAGGGATTCCTGCTGCTAAGAACCAGGTACTTGAGCATAGATTTTTCAGAGGGGAGTCAAGATGTTGAGAAAGGATGGATGGAGATCAAAGCGGTCCTGGTGGAGCAAAGACACTTGCAAGCAGCAGAAGTTTGAGGACTGTGGGTAGAAGAGCAGTTTGCAGATTACAGTGATGCTGAGCATGACAGTTTATTTAAATGTCACTGTAACCAGTGTCCAGCTGTTTGTGCAGTCACTGCATGGAGGTCACAGTAAATCAGATGTGAGACCAAAATACATGTGCTAGAAGGAAGGAAAATCCCCTCCACTTGTGCAGTTTCCTTTCAGTGTTAAGTCCTTGTGGTAGTAACTGAACATAACAGTGGCCTAGACAATTTTGTTCAGGTCCACCAGCTACAGAGTTTTCTGTGCAATGTTTTTATCCTGCCTGTGTACTGCCCAGCCTTCCAGTGGGCCACTACCATTCTCCATGCTCCCTAATTCGAGCAAAAATGACAGACCAGATGAAATGGAAATTTGGCATCTTGCTGCAGAGATAAATAACATGCCAGCAGAAAAGCCTGGCCTCCCTCCATTCCCCATCCAAGAGAAGCAGAATATGTGGTGTTGGCAATGTCCCTGGCTGGAATGGGCAGGTAAGGGGTGGGATATCCCCCTGGAGCAGGTTACACTGTGTCTGTTGGGTGTTACATCTGCCTCAGAAGCAAGTAAGGGGTTTTCTGGAACCATGTTGAAAAGCAGGGATGTGATGTTGGAAAACCCATGTGTGGTAGCAGAGTGGGTGATGGGAAATGGGCAAAAAAGTTATTTGTTGCTAAAATACTGTGTGTTGTGTTTTGGGGAAAAATCCTGTACTAATCCATCATTCACCACAATTGCAGCTGGTCATTCGGGGACAGAAAAACCTAAAGAAAAGAGGTGTAAGCAGAACCCATCAGGTGAGCTTGTCTCTGTTTCAGGCCATTAGTCCTGTTCCTGCTGGACAGTCAGGAATCCTTGGGGCTGCCCAGGCCCTGGTCAGTAAGCCCAGCCTGGCTGTCAGACATGACTCAAGGCAGTGTAGTCACTGAGTTCCAGAGTTCCCAGCCTGGCTGCAGCTCTGGGCACGGCCCTGGCCTCTCAGCAGCTCGTGTCTTGTCTTCTGGGGGTACTGTCAGTGTTTTGAAGGGTTTCAAAGCCTTTAAGTGCACATCTGTAAATGCCAATATACCACTTGGGACCCTGACTCCTCTGGAGCCCTTGGAAAGTAGCAGCCTGAGATTGTACCTATTTTATTCCTCTCAAACCTTGTACAGCCAACAAAGGAAGAGCAAAATTACCTTCCTTCCTATCAAACAGCTCATTCCTGAAGGCAAGAGAGCTGCGCTGGAAACCTGCTGGCTGGCTGCTCTTGTCAAGTTTTGCAGGAGGGCAGATGAACCTGTAGCATGGACCTGTCCAGGAAGCACTGACAAGAAACACAAACAATGGCTGTACTGAACAGTCCAAGCCTTCAGTTCTTTCTGAACTATTAAATACTGACCCTCTGTTGCTGTGACACATCTCCCAGACTCTTCCTGCCATCTCCTTGTACCAGCTCACATCACACTCATCCTCCTCAATCTGTTTCTTTCTGGACTGCAACATTTAAAGCACATGAGTGAAAGTTCACAGCAAAAACCAAAACAAAACCAGAAATTCTTACAAGCTGAGTAGCAAGTTTCATGTGATTTGTTTCTCTTGTTTCCCTGTAAGGAGTGTTTCTTTCTGCACCGTGTGCAGTGTCAGTTTATTTTAGTGGCTCAGTTGAGGGCTGGCAGGCTGCAGAGGAGTTGCAAGGTACTCACCTAGACCATTGACTGAGCCAGGAAACCTGAGGAACTCAAGTGAGCTGCCCAGGACTGGTCTGAGGGGAGTTGGGCTCTGGTGAAAGCAGTTGCTTTCTGCATTAAGCAGCTGACATGCTCCTGAAAGCCAGGCTGGTGCATGGGGATGTATAAACTTCTTCCCTTTTTCCTTCCTTTATCAATCCTGCATCCTCTTTTCTTCCCCAACCCTGTTTTTCCCCTTTGGCTCCGTTTTTGTGCTGCTTCCCACAAGTCCCATTCAGTGCTCTTTTCCAGCCCTTGCACCAAGCCATTTCTCCTCTTGTTCCTTCCAGTTCTCAGGAGTCCCAGTGGCCTCATTGACAGCAGCCTGGGTGAGCATCACCAGTCACCATGCGTGCCACTGGTGATCAGAGAGGCCTGGAGAGCTCTGTGTGCTCAGCTGGCCAAGCAGAGCTCTCTGCAGCTGCCTTTTGGAAGAGCTGACATGTCCTTGCCTCCTCCTTTTCCTTCTTTCCATGGCTGTGTCTCAGTGGGTGGGACAAACACCATTTGGCTCAGTGTCACATGTGGGATGGGAACTCTGGGGTGATTCTGGCACCATTGGCTTGTCCTCTCTTGTGCTCCAGCCAGCAGATTTCCCCCAGGCAGGGAAGCAGGTGGTGGTAATGTGGTGGGCAATGACAGAAGGATGGACACTTCTGTCCTCCCACTCCCATCTGCTGTTTGCTTGTCACCAAACTGCTGTTGTAAGGAACAGTCACCAGGTTTGGGAGGTAAATGTAGGTCCCAGCTGAGCAGCCAAGAGCTGTGTGGCTTGGCCTTGTTAAATGCCTGATGGCTCTTGTTCTCTGTGGGTGTGAGCTTTGTGTCACAGGCTTGGATACAGAGATACCAGAGAGCAGCAGGAGATTTTTAGGCCACCCAGCTGGGGACATTCTGCTTTTTCCCCATGTCACCATCCTGACTGCAGTGGCACAGACCCCTTGGTGTCTAGAGTAAGGGACAGGATGAGCAGAACAGGGAGGTCAGTAACTAAAATCACCTAAAATACACAGGGGTGCAATGGGAGGGAGTCCTGAGTGGGAATAAGAATGGAACTAGAATGAAAGATGCTGGATTTCAGATGTCTCTTCCCTATGCACACAACCCCAGTCCTTGTCACAGTGAGTGCAGGTACCTGGCATCCTTCTCTGTGTGACCTGGCATCTGGCTGCCCATAAACCAGAGCTCTGTGCTGCATGGCAAACACTGCTTTGGGCCTCATGTGAGTGCCAGCTTTGTCTCCCAGCAGGGTGGGCTGGAGACAGGGCGTGGGTGAAGGTCTCGAGCTGTCATCCACATTATGATTGGAGAGTGCTCTTTGTACTCATGGAAAAGGGTCTCCACAGCCATTTGAACTTGCTTTTTGGTGAAAAACTTTGCTTTTTGATGGAACCTGGAAGTTCCACAGTGCTTTAAAAATAGCATCCTTCTAAAATGTTCCAGTTGCTCCCTTCTGCTGCCTTGGGAGCACAGGCAGGAGAGGTCCCAAGTCACAAGAGCACAAGAACTTCTGTTCATCCATTGCTGAGCTAAGGGAGGTGCAGAAAGCAATGCCATGACCTGATCCTGAAGCATGCAATTGGCTCACTGGGAGGAACAGCAGAAGCTGTTATTCCTTAGGGTGCCATAAAGCTGCTTTCAAGGGAACCCTCCCTGGTGGGGGCCATTCTGCCAACTCTTGACACACGCTGAGGTTTTAAATTCTCAAGAGGCCAAACAATATTTCAAGGTCAGCTTGTGTAATGTAAAAGGCAGTGATGATCAGCCTGGGCATGGGTAGGGAAATCCCTAGAAAGGAGTTGAGCTGAGTGTTTTGTGCTGTAGTGAAGGTCACTGCCTTCCTTTCCATCCATGTGTAGTTGGGGAGGAGCCTTTGGCTGGGGCTGGGCCCTGCTCTGGTGCCCTCTGTCACCACAGGGCTCCCAGGCTTTGGGATCTCCCAGGGTCTCCCTTCCTCTGACTCCAGACAGGGACAGTGACCTTCCTCAGGGACAAGAACCATCTCTAACTCAAGTGTTTACAGCCTAATGCAACTTGAGCCCTTGTTTTGGGCACTGTGGATAACTCCTTTGTGAAATGAAGGCCGAGAGGGATTAAGGGAATTGTGAGAATCCAAGAAGTAAAATAAAAGCAAAAAAGGAGAAAAAAAGATCTTTAGTTTCAACACCTTCAAATACAGCTATCAAAGGGGAAATCTAATTGAAATTGTCAGTGTTTGTTGAAGTCTGAATTTGCTCAGTGTTGTGGGTGTGAAAGAGAACAGTTAAAATTATGTAGGGAATTGGGAAATATTTTGAACTTTCAAGGTTGATTTAAGCTGTATAAATATGTCTCAATTACATCTGCTGCTTTAGGGAACTACTACTGTAAGAACTTCCAGTGCAACAAATTTTAGCATTTAGAGTTTTTAAAATGTCAACACTTTTCATTCCTATGTACACAGGGAAGCTTTGCTTTCCAGCACTGTTATTCCAGACTGGGGAGAGGGTCAATGGAAATGTCTTCTTTTTTTCGAATCAGTTTGTGCCAAGCTGAGATGAGATTGAGAACAAAAAAACTGGATTTCCTACATTTGATATAGAGTAAAAATTCTTGGAAAAGCTTGAGAATCTCCTGCTGTCAGGATTTAATGGACACAGGACTAGATTTTAAACATGGATTTTCAGAAAGCACAAGCTTTCTTCCCTGGTGTGGCCATACATCCCCTTCCCCTGTAGTCCAGCCATCACACAGCCCTTCTGTGGGGGGTTTCAGCTGGAAAGACAGCACTTTTAGGATAGCATTTTTGGTGGGTGAGTGCAGCTTTAATGTTTGGGGCATAATAATTCTTGGTTACTGATTGCAGTGTGACATTAGCACAGCCAGCCCCCGTGCCTCTGCCTCCTGAGGTGCACCCAGCTGCCTCTCAGGCTCTGTCAGCGCAAATACAGCTTCCATTAACATTCATCTGGTAATTCTCTTTCTCATCTGTGGTTGGTTTGTGACTGCTGCCTGTCTCCATGGAGCTGGGAGAGCCAATGGCCAAATTTGAAAAGTGAGGAAAAGGGGAAGGGGAGTTGTTCTGTGAGCTCTCCCACTCTGTGCACAGCACAGGGAGTGCTGGTGATGGGGTGACACAATTGCACAAATAGACAGAGCTGCATTTTTAAAGCAGCCTGAAGTGCTGTGTCCAGAAGGAGGGTCAGCAACTGAGTGCAGTTCCCACCGGGAGAATGAGAGTCACACAGGGTGAGTTCAGTTGAGAAAGTGTCACTTTGCTCGGTTGAATAAATAAGTCACTGTGTCTACTGGGCATTTATGTGGAATTGAGGTTTCTAGGAATGAACTGTTTATTTCTGGTGCCACATTCATTTAAGCTGTTCCAGACTTCTCATGTTCAACAGGCAGCTTGCAGACAGGAAGAAATATATCTGGGTTAAAATAACCACTCAGCAGCCAGTCTCTGTGGGTGATATCCTGCCAATTGCTCCAGAGCCTTGGGACACCGGGGAAGAACTGAGGCAATCCATATGAAAGCACTGAGGCAAGGAGCACTCAGCAGAACTGAGCACACAGCCAGGACAGGGCTGGGGATTGCAGTCTGCAAGCACAGATGGGGCTGGGGCTGGGCAGGGCATGGCCAGGACAGTCCCTGAGAGAGCAAAGGGTGGGCAGAAAAACCTGAACTGTCATTTTGCCTGGAGAATCTGTGGAGGGAAAGATTACAAAGGCCCAGTGCAAGGTGATTTATCATTAATCAGTCACACTCTGGCATTTCTATGATTCTTGCCTGGATAGGTAGCTTTAGTGGAAATGACTGTGCTGTAGCAGGGACCTGACAATGCATGGATAAAAAAATTACCCAATTATAAATATGAAGACCAGAAAAATCCTAAGAGTCTTCCTTCACATAAACCAGTGTTGTATTGAGTACCTGAACTGCTGCTTCATACTGACAGTGCTTTCCATGTGAGTAGGAAGGCAGGCAGAACGAGGACACTGTGTCAGCAGTTCTGGCTGGAGGGCAGCCCGAGGTGGTGCTGAGAATTCCTTGGGCTGCTTTGAGTGCTCTGTGCCACTGCTGGGCTCTGTGCCTGCTCCAGGTCAGATTCTCTTCTGGGGGGACAGTGAAGTTGGGGTTTGTCCCTCAAAAGCTGAAGTGCAGCTGGGCTGCTGCAGGAGCCCTGCAGTGCTTGGAGCAGTGCCATGGGCACACGTGTTCCCTGAGGGAGCAGGGCCCTTCCCAGAGCAGGGACCCAGCACACAGAGAGGAGGGTGCCTGGAGGAGCCTGCCCTGCTCAGCTGCTCAGCAGGGCCAGGTTAGGGACCTGTTTCAGTGAAGATCTTGCCCCAGGTACAGAGCTGGGCAGCTGCAGGAGCAGCTGGAGCACTGCTGGCTGATCACAGTGTGTGAAGTGATCAGCAGCATTCCCTATGAGCTGGTGTCTCCCATGCATCCCCTTTCCACAGCACTGTCCACTCATGTCTTTGCCCGGCGTCATCCATGCCTTCATCTCCATTCCTTACGGGCTGGCCCTGCCATCTGGAGCCCTTCTCAGCAGCTCAGGTCCTCGGCACGGGGATGTTTAGCAGGAAGGCTCGCTGTGCTTGACCCATGCAGTTCCTGAGGGAGGCTTTCCTTCCAAGGAAACCAGGCCAAGTCTGGCAGAGAGCCCTGAGAGCCTCAGTCCGGGATGTGCCAGCTCACAGCCTTGGACTGGGACCCTTCTGGAGATGCTCTGAGTCTGACTGAATATTTGGCCTTAATAATTAATGATTTCTGCCCCTCTGCAGGGATCTGACCCTAAAGGACCTCACCTGGGGACTGTAGGAAGCCACACATGGTCTGAGGTGCTGGGATCACTGCTTCTGCTCCAGGGCACTGGGGCTGGATGCAGACAACTCCTGGTTGCCCAAGGGGCAGCCAGCAGCCAGTTTTCAGTCACACCTTACAGAAAGGCAACCTGCAAGGTGTGCTGAGTAGAAAATGTGCATTCTCAGCCTGAAGTAAGTGCAGTGCTTAGGAACTCTCTCCTTTGGCATCCAGGGAGAGCGAACCACCCTAGTTTTCTCTCCCAGCTTTAGTTTAAAGAAGCTGCATAGTGAAACTGGGAATTTGCATCTGGAGCACCAAAGAAAGCCCTTGTAAAGGGTTTCTTGCCCTATGGCTTTTCTTTGCTGGCCTCCCCCCTTGTTTCTATTGCTGTAGTATTGGGTGTGTGTTAAAATTTCTGGACATTTTAAATTGGACAGGAAAGATGCAGAACCCTGGCCATGAGAAATTGAGCAAGGGAGACAAAATGGACATGTTGGACATGTTGGATTTTGTGTTAAATGGAGCTCCCATCCTGCCCTGCCCTGGATAACTCTGGAAGTGTGGAGTAGGGTTAAGGAGCAGGGAGCAGATAGGCAGAGCTGTGTAGAATGCAGCGAGGTCTCTGCCAATCTCAATATTTAAATCTCTTTCTTTTTTGCAGAAACCGCAAGTCCCCTGATTTCAAATCCTTTCCCGCTTTTACAAAGTAAGTGTGATGGATGTCTGTGGTGCAAAAGGCAGGGACTGCCCTCCTGCAGCCCTGCTGCCCTGCCCTCTGAGCAATTTTCATCAATAAATGCTTTTTTATTATGAGTCCAGGTGTCAAGGAATAAAATGCCTCTCTTCTGTGGCTCTGGTGTCAGATTTAAATGCAACAGAAATCCTCCAGGGTTTTTCCATGCAGTCTGGGGCTGCTAAATCACTTCATATTCAGTCTTCAGGGAGTTTTTTGTGAGCGTGTTTTGAGACCAAGATTTGAAAATGAACCCATATTTAAGTTACATTTGCACACAGAAAAATTTGTGATCAGGGCTCAGCTTAGGAAACACCTGCACAGAGCCAGTTCCTGTGGCCTGGGATTGGAAACTGGGAGCAAGCAGGGCTGGGATAGTGGACAGGTGATCTCTGCTGCAGATTCTGCCCTGTGGCCTTGAGGTTTTGGCAGGTGGAACGTCTTCCTTTGCCTTGCAGTGTTTGGTTCTTGGCACTGGGGTTTGGGTGATTTGTGCCAGCCCTGAGTGCCACACCCTGAGCATGGCCGTGGCAGGGAGGAGGACAGGTGTTCTTCCTCCTCTTACAAACCTGAGGGGGAAGCTTTATTCAGAACACGATTCATGCAGGAAGAGAAATCCAATTAATGCCAAGATGTTTGATAAGGGTGGTGAATTTGGGACTCCCCTTTTCCAAACATACTCCAGAGCACCTTGTTACCTCTTACTGTTTGAGCTGTCTGGAAATGACAGAAGTTCTGTTTTCAAGAAATTTCCACTGATTTTGGGGTGTGCTGGTATTTTTGTCGGAGCCTGCTGCTGATTCTCCTGCCTTGTCTCATGGGTTTGTGTCAAAGGGAAGGTGCAATTATGCTGTTAGTAAAGCTAAAGCCAAAGGAAACATTGGGTGGAAATGCTGAGAAGTTTTCCTCACAGTTGTTCTGCATTTGTTTTTCACCAAGATGTGGACAGAAATGTTGAAATGTGGGTTTTTTCTGCTGAGGAAAGAGCAGCCTGGGGGGCTGTCCCTGCTGAGCCGTGGTGACACCCTGCTGGGTGTCTGTCACTGCACAAGCACCTCAGGGCACTTGCTGAAACTTTCTGTTAAAGCTCTCAACTCCTGTTCACTCCTGGCTTGAGACCAGGCTCTGCTATTTTCCCTGGCTTAGATGTGGCAATGAGAGTTAACATGGGAATTAGAGTGATTTATTTAACCTAAGCACAGGCATTGGTTTTCCTCTGCCTTGCCTCACACAGCTGCTGCCTTGCTCTGGGGCCTCGCTCACTGGGTAAAGCACTGCTAAAAGGGTCTAATTATAGCCTTGGGGAAAGATGTTTTAAATTGTGCAACCAGATGTGAGCGTTAGTTCTGTGTGGCTCAGGACACTGAAGAGCTGCTGGTTGAAACCTGCTCTCAGAAAACACCTCCACCAGCACAGGGGGCTCATGTGGGCATCACAAGCTTCCCTTGTACCGCCAGCAGCTGGGAGCAGAAGGACAGAGAGCAAAAGGGGAGACCTGGGGGCCCTTTGCTGAGCTCAGCCCACCTGAAGGAGAACAGATCCCTAAGGCTGAGTAAGGAAGAGCTGAAATTCCCAGGGCAAAGGAGAAGCAGAGGTCCAGCAGTGGTGGGAGAGAAGGAGAATGGGGCACAGGTGTGGCTCAGATGGGTGTGCAGAGCAGTTTTGCCAACTTTTCCAGTTCATGGTCAAGAGAAATCAAAGGGAGGAGGATTTACTGGATTACCAGCCCAGGTGAACAGACTTTTCCCTGGTTTGGGATACAGATTGCCTCTTTCTTCTCTCCACCTTCCAGATCCCTCTTCCTCTTCTAGCCCTGGCACATCCCACCCTCCCTCCAGCCAGCCTGACTGTTCCCAGCTCTGCACTCTGGAGCATGAGGGGCTCAGGAGCTGAAAGCTCAGAAGGATGAGGGTTGAGAGAGCTCTGGGAAGTGAAGTGAGTTCATTCATTCCCATGGGGATTCTGCACATCCTCCCAAGCATCCCTTCCCCTGGTCCCAAGAAATACTTTGGAACTGTTGGGTGAATTTAAATTTTATGCTTATTTTTAACGTGGCTCAGTTTTATTTGTGGTAAACTTAGACTTCTGTATGTCTTTGTGACAGAATTATTTAGAAAATGTTTTGGCATTTTCAGAACATGAAATTAGCTTTTGAAATAGGTGGTGATTTTGTTTCTGATTTTGGACATTTCTGGAGTAGAACAGAAGGGGTATCTTTTGAAATTGAGATGAAAATCAACACAATTTTTCTGAGAAGAATCACAAATGAGAGATTTTACCAGTTCACTGAGTGCACTGAACATCCAGAGATTTGTGGTGCCAAAGGGAGGGGTTTGAGATGAAGAGCTGTGGAGACCTTGGTGGTTACATCCTGCTGGATGCAGATGGGAGAACCCAAAAGAGACTGGACAGGGGTGAGTGGGGGGTCAGACAAGGAGAGAGCTAGAAAAATAGCACAGGTTTGTGCTGACAAAATAGCTGAGAATACAGGAGGAAGGAGGTGAAGCAGCTCAGGGAGACAAAGTGAGCTGAGAAGCAAATGTGAGTGAAACAGGAGAGCAAAATGAGTGTGGGAGATACACAGCTTGGAGAGTGCTGGCTGATGAGGGGGGTTTGCCTGCTGCTGGGAGTGTATCTGAGCTGGGGAAGAGCTGTGCTGTGCTGGAATCCTGCTCCCAGGGCAGCTGGGGGCAGAGAAGGGCCCTGGCACTGCAGTGGTGAGCAGGGCTTCCCCCACTGCCTCCTCGGCACTGCGGGCAGCCATGGCAGAAGGGAGGGCAGGTGTCTGCCCACGAGAGCTGCCAGTGTTCAGGGACTGCGGGGTGGCACCTGCAGCTGGCAGCCTTGCTGCAGCACTCAGAGGTACAGCGGGGTCTGTTCTCCTCTCTGGTGGGGGCAGGGGCTCCAGCAGAGCAGAGGGGCAGAGAGAGAGGGTCACACAGCTCTTCTGAGCTGCCAGGGGCCTGTCAGCAGCAGTCAGCAGGCTCTCAGAAGTGTGGCTGCTTTCATTAGAATATTCACATGTTAATTTTGACCCTTGAAGGGGCAGTCAGACCCCTCAGTTTGAGGCGTTTCCATCTGAGCAGTCTGGGCTCCATGGATGGCAGAGGCACAGGAGTGTCTGTAACACAGGTCTTTGGCATTGAAATACAAGCCCAAGAGGGATGGTTTGCACCTACAGGGAGCCTTCTCCTCTCTGACAATTAAAAATAAGTCTAAATGCAATCTAAATTAGATTGCATTGTACCTCTTGTCGCATTATACCACAACTACCTCACTAGTGATGATTTCAGCAGACACAGCCAGTCCCTGCTAATTCCCAAGGACTAAAATCCCCGTGTGCCACTCAGCTGTCCAAGTCTTCTCTTTTTTCCACAAGCACAGTAACTTAAGTACGAAATTTCCAAACCTCCATGCTGCAGCAAGCCCAGGATCAGCACCACAAGCAGACACAGTGTGTTAAAGCATTGAGCACAACTCTGGGCAGAGCTGGCTCCATCATTCCAGAGGCTCTAGGTTCTGTGGGAAAGGTTTGACCTCACAGCATAATAGTACAGCTTATGCAGACTTGCTCATGCTCTCTTTTATGTTTTTCCTCACGGATTCCTGTAGCCTCGAGGTGGATTCTGGGGTTTGCTCCCTGAGATAGACTTCTCACAAGGTATAGGCAGCCTTGTGCTTCCCTGGGGTTTGGTTCTTCTGTCTTGGTGCTGGTGCTTCTGCTTATTCATTGATACAGAATATGTTTTTCTCTTCGAACTCAGGTCTAGACTTCTGAAATATTGTAGCAATAGACCCTGCTCTGTGTGTGTGCCAGGCATTTGTATCCACAATTGTTCATATGCCACATGTTTGTCCATTCTGCTGCTCCAGGACAAAATGCCCCAGTGAGAGGTGGCAGAGCTGGTGTGGCTGCAGGGACAGAGGCAAACTGCAGTGTTCCCAAATTTAAGCACTGTAGTTCAAGATCACATCTGTCAACCAATGCACTCTACTGATATTGTTTAGACAGGCAACTGCAAACACTTGCTTTTAGGTTAATTCAGTGGAAGAAATGCACTTTCAACATAGAACAGGGCTAAATGTATCTTTCAGCCCATGAGGGAGCTCTGCACCCAGCTCTTTCCAGCTTGTCCATATAGCTCTGGCACATGGCTCTCCTGCTCTGCTCTCAGCCTTCAGGCACAAGGCCTGGTTCCTGTGCTTCCTGCCCTCCATCTCTGCTTCCCTGGCACCCTGCTGCCACCCAGCCCCATGACACCCACCAGTCCCTGGTCTCACTGCACTTGGCGACAGCCACAAAGCCCCAGCTGAGTTCCCCCATGGCACTGCTCCATCCCCAGCCTCTGACTACAGCATTTGTCACAACCCAGTGCTCCTTGTCTCACTCAGGAAAGGCAGCAGACACTGGAATTGGACAGACCTGGGTGGAAAATGAGTCCACCAGGCTTTACTCACAGGCACAAAACCAGCAGGGACGTGCTCAAGGCAGGCTGCAGCAGCCTGGGCCAGCAGGCCCTGGCCGGTGGGCAGCCTCCAGGAGAAACCCTTGTGCAGGTGCCTGAGATGCCCACCCACGGCAGCAGCTGCTTCCCGCAGTGCTCTGCCTGTCCCCTGGCAGTGAAGTGCAGCAGGAGGAGGTGCCCAGCCCAGGGGGCAGAGCCGTGCCCGGGCCGTGCCCCGCTCGCTGTGCCCACAGCTTACACACTGAGGTATGCACCTGTGCTGCTTCCCTGCAGACTCTGTGTAATTCTTCTGAACTGATTTCTCCCAAACAGAGCCTTACACCTGTGGAGCTTGTGGAATCCAGTTCCAGTTTTATAACAATCTCCTGGAGCACATGCAGTCCCATGCAGGTAAGCTGGGCACTTTGACTCACTGCAAGCAGAGAATTAAATTCTGTGCTGCTGCCTGGTGCTGACCCCAATGTGTGTCTGTAGGGTTCTCAGTGCTCCCCATTCCCACAGCCCCAGTCATTTCACCTGCAACAAACACAGTCATCCCTCAAAGGCTGGAGCGCAGAGGCTCAGGGTATGTTGTAAATATTGCTCCTTTCCATAGGGAGAGAGGGAATGTGCCGTGCTAGCTCAGAGTCCATCACACTGCCAGGGACTGTCCATCATTGCCTTTATCCAGAGCTAGCCAGAGAATCTTCATTGCATAAGCTCCTCCAGCAGGTTAAATCCCCCTCGTGCCAAAGGGGTGGCTCTCATGGAGCAGGGCTGCAGAGCCTTTGCCCACACAAGCCCTGTCCTGTGCCTGTGCATCCTGGAGTTCTACAAAGGACTGAAATGTGTTCTCAGAAGAAGAATTTGCTATTTCAGCAGCTGTGTTCAGTTCCCTCTCAACTACCTACAAATGAGAATTCTTAAGAGTCATTCCAGTGCTTTGTTTCTAAGTCACTGTTTTTGTTTCCTGTCTTGATACATAAGAGACAATTTTAAAATTTCAAAGCCAAACCTGTTTCAAAGACAGCAGTCAGCATATTCAAAAATGTAGAAACAGAATTCATTTTATATTGGCAGATTATTTTCTTTTTTTTTTTTCTCTTGAATAAAAATTCAAGTGGACCAACCCAGTTTTAGGAACAATTAAATCCCCTTTGACAGACCTGTGTTCAACAGACAGCTGCTCTGTTGAGATGCAGATGCAGATGCAGATGCAGTGCAGGCCCTAAGGAAAGTGGCATGGGAGGACAAGAGGCTTGAGGAAAAGCATATTTTCCTTTCTGTAATAATGTTAATCAAAGTTCTTATCTTGCTCTTTATTTTAGTTTTAGTTCTAATTTTAATAGTGTCACTTGAGTTCTTCATCCATGAGGTTCCTCTATTCCATTCCAGTTCCTGCTGGCAAATCTTAGTGCAGGCTTTGTGTGTTGTTCAGCAGCTGCTTTATTTATCATCTGTGTGATGTTTCAGAGACTTTGAGAGTGCTTTGTTAGCAGAAGGTGTGAGTTTGTGTTTCTGGTAGAGCACTGGGGTTCTGTGCAGTAATGGGACTCTGTGTTACACCGAGGAGCAGTGGACTCTGCTCAGGGCAGGGCTGCCCTCCCTCCCTGGCCTTGGGTCTGTCCTTCTGGTTGTCCACAGCAGTTCTGCTGCCTCCACGCTGTGTCCTGACCATGCTGTTCTTGCCCTGGGCTCTGGTACTGAAGTGCAGCATTTTGAGTTACAGCTCTTGGTGACCGAGCACAGGAGCTGAGGGGACAAGGGCAGCTCACTGAGGTTGAGCTGTTGCACATTGTAAGCTAGGGCTACCTGCAGCTTCCTCCTTGTTTCTTCTTTACAAATGACCCATGGGGGTGGTGATGAGGGCTCCCTGTGGTGGGGAGGGCCTGGCACAGGGTGCCTAGAGAAGCTGTGGCTGCCCCTGGATCCCTGGCAGTGTTCCAGGCCAGGCTGGGCAGGGCTTAGAGCACTCTGGGACAGTGGGAGGTGTCCCTGCCATGGCAGGGGTGGAATGGGTGGGCTTTAAGGTCCCTTCCCACCCAAAACAATCTGTGGTCCTGTGGTTGTTCACCTGGGTTACTTTGGCCACAGAACAGGGTGGAGGGAACACTATCTGTGACTGGGCTTCTGTCACATGTGTGAATGTGTAAATCCCCTCTGCCCAGTGCAGGATTCTCTTGGTAAACTCTGTTTTCTCCTTGCTCCCTGCTTTGTGTGCAAGTCCCATCCTCTGCCTGGCTGCCTCCTGCTGAAGTCCCACTGGTGCAGTGACAGTGAGGGTGTCCGTGTCTTCTTCAGCTGCTTTCTGCAGTGCCACCAAGGCTGTGCCCCGTGTGAGGCACTGTCCCCTCCTGTGGCCTCTGGGTGTGGTGCCTGGCAGCCCTGTGCTCACACCTCTCCCCTCCCTCCCCGTGTGCAGCTGTGGGATGAGGGCAAAGCCGAAACAGAGACAGGAACACTGCAGCCAGCAGTGCTGGGTGTCCAGCTCTGGGTGTGCTGTGTCAGCAGACAGCACTGAAGGCACACAGTTGTCCTGGCAGCACTTTGTTGCCTTCAGGCTGACAGGAGGTTATAGTGAGCTGAGGGTCGGTCTGTTTTCCCAGGGAACGACTGACAAGGGCAAGAGGAAATGGCCTCAGGGTGTTCCAGGGCAGGTTTAGATTAGAAGGGTTCTCAAGCACCCTGAGCCCAGGGCAGGGGTGGAGTCACCATCCCTGGAAGTGCTCAGAGAACATGTGGATGTGGCACTTGGGGACATGGCTCAGTAGTGCTGGGCTGGGCTGATGGCTGGACTGGATAATCTTAAAGGTCTTTTCCAGCCTAACAAGTCTGGGATTCTGGGATTTCCATGTCCAAGAAACAGCATTGCCCCAACATCTCCGAAGTGTGGGAGTGCAGGGACCTTGCAGTGGTCAGCAGGACTGGTGGCACAGGATACTGAAACTGGGGACTCAGGCATGGCAGGGGTTTGTCCCTGGTCAGGGAATGTTTCATTTCGAGGATGCAGAGAGCCAAGAGACCAGTATGGGTCAAATGCTCCCTCAATTCATGTGTTCAACAGCCCAGTTTGGTTTGTCCTGTCTAATGCAAAGGGCTGATCTCTTCCAGTGGCTGTGCTGCCTCCCCTGGACCCTTCTGACGAGGGACAGAAGCCAGGGAACGTGCTGCTGGCCTCCAGAAGCAAAATCAGGGACATACTGGCTCTTGAGTCATTCAGAGGGCTGAGCCCGGAGGCTGGAAGGTAATAAGGAGAGATTATAGCTTCATAAAGCAGCTACACAGTGAGGAGAAGCAATTAGAATGTAAATTGGGTGCTGAAAGGCAAAAATAGAACAGCAGAACACCAGGCAGAGGAATTTGTTCTGTAATTACACTGAACAATATACAGCTTTGACTCCCTTTAGAGTACTTTGTTCAGGTCGAGTGCTGCCATATAATGCCCTTCCTACAATCTAGGCCTAAAAAAACAAAAGGAGGACTAGGCTGAACCTGGATTAAAGGATTGGAGGCATGAAGAAAAATTAAGAACCGTGATCTGTGTAGTTCACAGACTGCCTGATAAGGAAGATGAGGCTGAAATGTACAAATCTCATTAATGCCACACTGAATGCCAGCAGATATTTGTATATAATAAATCCCCTATTATTAGGAAGTAGATAAAAGAGTTATGGTGAGGAAATACAGAGGGTTTCTTCCCCTACCCATCCCTCACCAAGACAAGCAGGGCCTGAACCATGAGCGGAGTTAGTAGCAACATCCAGCATTTTCCTTTACCCACCCATAGATGTTTGGAGTTTAGGACACTGGTGACATTGGCTCAAGAGCAATTAGTCTGGCAGATGCTGGGGGAAAGGTGATGTGTCCCTCCTGTGGCACCTCGTGCTCTTCACATCTCTGCACACCTGCAAAGGCCAGCCTGTGGCTGCAGCTGAGCATGGCAGCACTCCCTGGGTACCCAGCATGACCAGGGAGCTCCCTGGGCACACACAGGCCCCAGGCAGTGCCAGAGGCTGTCCTGGGTCATGTCCTGGATTGCTCTGAGGGATTGCCCCAGCCTGTGCCAGTGCAGTGCCCACAGGTAGCTGAGCAGCCTGTGCCTTTGATGGGCAGCTCTGGAGTGCCTGGCAGTGAAGGGCAGAGCTGCTTACCCTGGAGAGGACTTGTAAGGAGATCACAGCCCTGCTGTTCTCCCTGCTCTCCCAGGTTGCTGGCACACATGGAGGAGAGCAAGAGCAGCTCTGCCCTGTCCTGTGTGTCCTGCTGCCCCCCCGCAAGCAGCCTGGCAGAGCTGTGGGTGCCTCAAGGCACTGCTCCAACTCGTGTTTCTCTGCCCAGAGCACCGGGCAGAGTCACTGCACTCTGCGCTGGTGTCCCCAGGCTGCAGGGGCTGCCACCTGAGCTGGGCAGTCTGCACTCCCTGTAAAGCCACTGGAGAGTCAGTGACTCCAGGTGAGTTCAGGTGGTTCTCACCACAGTGGTTCTCACTCTAGGAGAGGATCCAGTTCTGCTTGGGTGAATGAGTGGCACTCCTGAGTGTAAAAGGAGCCCTAATGGGCCACCTCAGAGAGAGGTGTGTCTGGCAGGTGTCCAGAATTAGGTGTGATGAGTCCAGCTGTGATGAGCAAATGGACTGTTCTGTTTTCCTTGGTTTTATTGCCATCCTTCTGCTCAGCCTGGTCATCAGTCTCTCCATCTTTCTGCTTCCTCTTCCAGCCCATTTCATTGTGCACTGTTCCTTCACAGCCTGTTTCACAGCACCATTTCGTACTGAAGCACACTAAGAACTAGAAAATTTCCTCTGGAGGGTGGGGAGAAATTCTTGGGGCACAGAAGAGGAAAACATGGATACAATACAGACTTTACTGATCTTGCTTGCATTTTCTTGTAAGATCCCGTCAGACTGGCAGCCAAAATGTTTAGCCCAGTTACTACACAGAAATGGGAGTACAAACACAAAGACTTTGGGGACACTTGGTGTCTGCAGCCTCAGGGTGAGATGGTCTTTGGTCCACAATCCAGAGACTTTGGCTTTGTGTTTGCAGCCTGAAGCAGCAGTGAGAGCCCCAGAGGAGATGGGCCCTTGCTCTTCATGGGGAGGAAACCAGACCTGAAGTTTTCAGTGAGACCCTTAGATCCAGAGAAGCTGAGCACAGCTTGAAAACCAAAGTGCTTCCCAGAGACAACAGGGCAGCCACCTGCAGTGCAGGAAGGGGCAGGGAGGGGACAGAAGGATCAGTGTCTGTTCCACCTCATTTTGGAAGCAAATGAATAGCCCAAGTCAGGCTGAGCTTCCATTCCTCCTGGTGTGCAGCTTCAGCTCCTGAGGAGACATTCCTCAGGGTGTGCTGATGGCATCAATGTCCCTGGTGCACAAGAAGACATGTGGCACATTTCAGCCACCTTTTGGGAAGTGATAGGTTGTGAGTCCAAAGAGAGTTTCAAGGTCCCTGAGGGTGCTGTGCGAGCCCACTGAAAGCTATGGTGGGTTGTTGTCCCCTTAGTTATAGAAACCCTACATACATGCTGAGCGGTTGAGTAGTTTCTGCTTCCTTGTGCTTTAAGCATTATATTTTATGCTTTTAACCCCTCCCTGTCTCTTGCCTCACAGCTGACAATGAGAACAACATTGCCTCCAGCCAGCAGCCCAGGTCACCTCTCCCTGTGGTTGAAGAAAAGTGGAAACCACAGCTCCAAAGAAATAACGCCAACAACAGTACGTAGCAGCTTCTCACTCTGTTCCTGTCCAACAGGTGCCCCAGGGGGGCAAAGCAGTGATGGGCACTGCACAAGGCCCTTGTCCTCACCAAACTGTATTTGATTTCACCTTAATTCATGTCCTTCCTGGCAGAGCAGAGCACCCCTTCCCACTACAGGAGTGCAACAAAGAACCCTGAGGTGATTGGAAATGTTTGTGGGGAAGATGCAGTTAGTAGGTCCTGGAAGAAGGTAACTTCTGATCCAAGGTCAGACTTTCTGGCCTGAAGTTAAAAAACTAATCCAGTCATCATGGTGTGACATAGGCATAGGTGCCCAGAGAAGCTGTGCTGCCCCTGGATCCCTGGAAGTGCCCAAGGCAGGTTGGACAGGGCTTGGAGCAGCCTGGGATAGTGGAAGGTGTCTCTGCCCATGGCAGGGGGTGGCAGTGGATGGGTATTAATGTCCCTTCCAACCCAAACCAGTCAGGGAATCTGATTTTATGTCCATCTTTCCATCTGGGCTGAGTTGTGACTATCCCTGTACCAGGGACAGGATGCAGATCTACTCCCTGCTGCTCTGACAAGAGCGGGGCCTGTCTCTGGAGGTTCCTCAGTCCAGAAACCTTGGGGGAACAAATCCAAGGCTGGAGTTGTCTCTTCCATCATCTGGGCATGTTCCACCTCTCTGGGGCTCTCTGAGAATTGTTTTGTGCCTTGTGCTCTCTCCTGCTGCTGTGATGCTGACCCGGTCCCTTTTGTGCCCGCTCGTGTTTCCCTGCAGCGCCGGCGAGCGGCTCAGTGGGGAACAGCGCCATCCCCGAGAAGGAGCGGCAGAACATCGCCGAGAGGCTGCTGCGGGTCATGTGCACCGACCTGGGCGCGCTCAGCGTGCTCAGCGGCAAGGAGTTCATCAAGCTGGCGCAGACGCTGGTGGACAGCGGGGCTCGCTACGGTGCCTTCTCCGTCACCGAGATCCTGGGCAACTTCAACACCCTGGCTCTGAAGCACCTGCCTCGGATGTACAACCAGGTGAAGGTGAAAGTCACCTGTGCCCTGGGCAGCAACGCCTGCCTTGGCATCGGGGTCACCTGCCACTCGCAGAGCGTCGGCCCCGACTCCTGCTACATCCTCACTGCCTACCAGGTGGAAGGCAACCACATCAAGAGCTACGTCCTGGGCATTAAGGGCGTAGACCTTCGAGACAATGGTGACTTTATCCACCACTGGGTGCAGAATGTGCTGTCAGAGTTTGTGATGTCGGAGATCAGGACGGTGTACGTGACAGACTGCAAGGTCAACTCCTCGGCGTTCTCCAAGGCAGGCATGTGCCTGCGCTGCTCGGCCTGTGCCTTGAACTCGGTGGTGCAGAGCGTGCTCAACAAGAGAACACTACAGGCTCGCAACATGCACGAGGTGATTGAGCTCCTGAATGTCTGTGAAGACCTGGCGGGGTCCACGGGCCTCTCAAAGGAGACCTTTGGCTCCCTAGAAGAGACCTCCCCGCCGCCCTGCTGGAACTCAGTCACCGACTCCCTGCTGCTCGTCCACGAGCGCTACGAGCAGATCTGCGAGTTCTACAGCAGGGCCAAGAAGATGAACCTCATCCAAAACCTGAACAAACACCTGCTCAGCAATCTGGCAGCCATCCTGGCGCCGGTGAAGCAGGCCGTGATCGAGCTGAGCAACGAGAGCCGGCCCACGCTGCAGCTGGTGCTGCCCACCTACGTCAAACTGGAGAAACTGTTCACTTCCAAAGCCAATGATGCTGGCGTGGTCAGCAAACTCTGTCACCTCTTCTTGGAGGCGCTGAAGGAGAACTTCAAAGTTCACTCGGCACACAAGGTAGCCATGATCTTGGACCCTCAGCAGAAGCTGCGGCCCGTCCCACCCTACCAGCACGAAGAGATCATTGGCAAGGTCTGTGAGCTGATCAATGAGGTAAAAGAGTCCTGGGCAGAAGAAGCAGAATTTGAACCTTCAACCAAGAAGCCTCGTGCAGCAGGGGAGGCCACAGCAGCTCAGGAAGAAGATTGGTTTGGGAAAAGTGAAGTCTATGATTATTTGCAAGAACCTCTCTTCCAGGCCACCCCTGACCTGTTTCAGTACTGGTCGTGTGTTACCCAAAAGCATACAAAACTAGCCAAGCTGGCCTTTTGGCTCTTAGCAGTGCCTGCTGTGGGTGCCAGAAGCGAATGTGTAAATATGTGTGAGCAGGCGCTCTTGATCAAAAGGAGGCGGCTACTCAGTCCAGAAGACATGAACAAACTCATGTTTTTGAAGTCCAACATGCTTTAAGACTTTCTTTAATTAAAACAAAACTTTAAAACACTGTTCCAAACAAAGAAAAAGAAATTTAAGTTCTAAACACTGTGGACCTCATTATGAATGCCCCTGGAAACCAAGTGCTTTTTTATATATATATAAAAATATAAATATATATAAAATTAAGTTTGAAAGGAAAGCTGAGCACAGGAGAGAGACAGCCCTCTGCCAGGAATGTGCTCCTTTCCATAGATAGTGTGTGGACTTGACAGACTTTTTAATGTTTTCAAGTGGGCAGACGAATGGGAGGCTGATGTTCTAAAGTCTTCAGGCAGCTGAGATCTAAAGTGACTTGAAGTTTCTTTTGTTTCTCCTCCACCCCACCTTTCCTCTTGTCCCCTGGGCCATCTTGCCATGGATAATCAGACTCCATTGACCAGACCAGTTCTGCACTGGACTTTGCTCCTTTGAATAACTGTACACCTTGAGGGCACTTGGCTGCAGCCTTCTTGGCATGGTGCGTGAATCAGGGCAGCTGTGTTCCATCAACACTGGTATCTTTAGAAATCAGAAAGGGAGGCTTTAAGGTTTTTGATTCTTAATTTTATTTTTAACCTTCCCATATCCCTTTTTTTCCAAAAAACAAAAGTTACTCCTCTGTCTTGACTCCTAGTTTTGAGTTTAACATGGCAGCAAGTGATTATAAGTTTGATTTCAAACTAAGAGAAATGGTTCATGGCAGAAACTGTCATGAACCATGACAGTTTCTTGGTTTTATATTTTTTTACAGCAGAACTTCTTTTCTGAACTCCCGGTGTTAATTATCTTTTCTGTGAATTTTGTACATCAGGTGTTCTCAGACTTGTTCTAGAGTAGCCCATTTGCAATTAAATAATGTTCTTATGGGAACCACAGCAGTTGTTTATTTGGCAAAGCCTAGAAACCAGGAAAAGCAAATAGTGACAGCACAGGTGGCTGTGGGCCACCAGTGAGCTTGCCAGGTCTGCCAGAGAACCCTTGTACCTAAAGATTTTTGTTTAAAAGTGTCTCAGTGACACACAAACCACCCTTCCCAAGGCCAAGGACAAACCAAGGTGTATGATTTTTCAGGGGAACAAAGCTCACCAGTTTTGTCAAACTGGGGTTTGAAGGAAGCTTAGAGAAGTGCATGGGCTCAAAGATCCTTCTGAATGTAAGTGCTCCTGATTGAGTGCAAAGAATATCTTCCCCTTTTTGTTTGGAATGGTTTCCTCTAGTGGCACGAATGTCTTTTTGATACCTACAGTGCATTACACTACTTGTTCTGTTGCTGACCTGTTCTGGCCAGGAAGGCCACGGGCCCCGAAACGTTCACACGTAACTGGCTCACCCCAAATGCAATTAGAGATCCCCATGACCCCAAACCATCTCAGTCACTCTGCTGTCCCCAAGGCCAGAGCTCCTGCAGGCACAGCTCCTGGGCTGCTGGACAGGCTCTGTCAGGTTTGGTGCCTCTTGGACAATTCCCAACCTCTGGTGCCAAACTGTGCATTTTTCACCACTGGGACTTGTCTCCTGCAGGAAAACTGAAACAAATTCTTCTTTTTTTCTGCAGTCTCTCCTGCTTCCAGGAGCTCTGGAGCTGCGGTTCCAGTGGCGTGGGAGGGTCGGGAGGAGGGACTGGCCCTGCTGAGAGCAGGCTGGAGCCCTTCACAGCACAGGGAGTTTGCTGCTGGCTGGCAATGCAGGGGGAAACTGGAGACCCTCTCTGCAGTGCTGCTGTTAAGCAGATGTTAAACCAGGATCCCACCTGCCCAGCTCTGGTTGTAAAAGAAGTTGCAAGTTCCAAGACATGAGAAATAGCAAACCCAATCTCTCAGGCTTTGTGTGCAGATGCCTTGAACCTCACAGGCACTCCCTGACACTGCACTGCCACAGGACTCAGGGGCACAGTTTGCACACTGGACCCTTCCCCACGCCAGGCTCACGAGGACAGACCTTGGCACCAGCTGTCTTGCCCTTTCCAGCCCTTTCAGCCTTCCATTGCCTTGAGGCTGGTGTTTGGGTTGACCTCTCAGCACTGTTACTGCCATCAGACCAAAACCATTGTCTCCTAAAATGTTACGTTTTTGCCTAAAGCACACAGCCTGCCACATGAACAGGGGCTGCCAAGGCAGATGCTCTTGGACTCCTGATTTCCCTCTCAGTGGCTGATGGAGGGGTTGCTTGTAGGGCCAGCTTTCCTTCTTGCTGGTTTTGTTTTCTCCTGTAAAAATCCTGCATGTCCAGCCACCAGTGGTAGCACAGCAGTTTGCAGGGCAGGAGAAATCTGTAGCGGACAAAAATGAACCCTGAGTGAGTGAGATGTGTACCAGGCCCACTGGTACCTGACAGCAGGAGAACTTGGCTGGGGCATGTCCCCAGACAGGATTAGCTGTGGGCACAGAGCGTACCACACAGCTCAGCTGATGGCACAGGGATCAGGATTGGCAGCTCCTTCTCCTAATGGCAGGAGCTTTTTTTGTGGCTCACCTGAGACCCTGAGAGCTCTTTGATGCTCAGGGAAACATGCAAAGCCCTTCCATTCCTTTGGAAAGACAGCTCCAGCCCCCAGGCCTCCTTTGCTAAGGGATCGTAGATGATTTCTGTGGAATGTGTGAACTTGGCCTCTGTTGTCTGTGACAGGCATGGAGGGTGGGAAGTGGGCAAACAGAGTTAGCACAGCTGTCAATCCCTGGAACTGAGAATTGGGCAAACTACAGGGATTTGTGCCCGGCAGTGGTGCAGACTGAGGGCATGCACGCAGGAAAGCCACAGCCACCCCTACCTCCCGTCCCACCTCCCCTTTCCTTTCTCACACTGTGGGTTTGGCACCAGAGCTGGAGTTTTCTGGTGGTGCTGACCAAAGAGAGGGATGGACTGGCCCTCTCCCCCATCCCAAAAACTGCCCCTCTGAGGCAACTTTGGTTGTAGGTGCACTAATGATGGGTGTTAAGCAGTGATGTCAGGCAGATGAGATTCTCCCAAAGACTTAAAAACTCAACAGCTGTAAAAGCAAGAGAAAACCTAAAGGCCTAAAATGGAGCATTCTCAGAGGTGGTGAGGGCTTGGGCAAGCCCTTCTCCAGAGACTCAGTGGAGGAAGGTGCAGCTTTTCCTGACTCTTGCATATGGCTGCAGGGTGCCCAGCTCAGAGGAGCTGTTTGTGCTGGGCCTGCTCCAGGCTCTCTCTGGGTCACTGAGGCCTCAGCAAAAGCAGGGAAGCACATCTGTAGCACATGCAATGACCTTAAATGCCAAGCTTTTGCTCCTCTTCCTTCTTCCTTCTTCCAGGCTTGAATTTACATTCTAGGGAGCAAAAAAATACTTTACCAAGGTCTGAAATTTAGAACTCTTATTTGCCAGGTTGCTCCAACTCGAGCTGCTCAGTTTCTCCTCTGTGGTGCCTCAGAGGTGCAGAGCAGCCTGGGTATTGCAGGGAGCACTGCTGGTCCTGGGCTGGGAGACTGCTCAGGAAAGGCTCCGAGTTTGGCCAGGGCTGTTGTGAGGTTCTGCTCCCTCTGAGCTGGGAGGAAAAGTCCTCAGAACTGGGATCATCCTCTGGCGGGTCATGTTGGGAACTTACCTTCTGCTTGTTGGTTTCCTTTAATCTCCCTTGTGAAATGTGTCAGGGTGCAGGAATGGGGTGTGGCCTCCAGGCATCCACCTGTTCCTGCTGCTGACTGTGCCTGACCTTGCAGACTTCTCTTCCTGGCTTCACAGTTTGCTTTGGAAGTGTTCTGACCTTCAGATGGGGAACAAGCACCACCAGGTGAACTGCAAGAGGGAAGGGCCTGTCTGAACATCCGTGTTACTGAAGAGGGTGGGATAGAGGCAGAGCTCTTGAGGAGGTTGTTTCTGTGTGCATGCAGCAGCCAGGAGGTCAGGAAGGAGCTCCTGTCTCTCAGTAGGCAGTGGTTGTGTTTGGTTTGCAGGACGGACTTGGTGTCTTGCATCTGGATCGAGTTGAGATGGAGGTGAACTTCCCTTTCTATCCAAGCTCTCTGTCTGTGCTGAGGAAACTGCTGTGGGTGGGTTTGAACTCGTGCAATCTGCAAAACTTTCTGTGAAAGCTGACTGTGGGCTCAGGTTTTGTCTAACTTGCTTGTTCCTTCATTGCTGGTTAAGCCAGTTTAACTTTGAGCTGAACTGGTTTAAGTGTCCACACAAACCACCTGCACTGGTTTATCTGTGCTTGCTGGGCACTCATGATGTCCAGCAGCAGCTCAGGGAGTCATGACCCTTATGTGAATTTTGCATATGAATTTGCAGCAGATGCTCTCAGAACTTGGGAATGACTGAAAATGGAGGGGAGACACTTCTGGAAATTATTTGAGCTCTAAATGGTGGCATTGGAGTGTCCAGTGAGATGGCTGAGGTGGGTTGGGTGACATTTCTCCAACTGTCTGCAAAAACCCAGAAGGCTTAGCATGACAAGGAATTACCAAAAGTGTTTGTGTTGGTGGCTGAGTCTGCTCAGAGGGACCAGTTCCACTGTGGCTGTGGTGAGCACAGGACAGGGGACTGGAACCTCCTGCTGCTCCCACAGTGCCCTGGGCATTTCTAGGCAGGACCATGTTACTGCTGAATCAAAAGACATTAAAAGAGAAGCCAGGAAGGTGCTCCAAGGCTGGGAGTGCTGCTCTGTGCTGAGGAGAGGCTTGGATCTCTGATTGCACTTCTTGGCTGAGGGAGAGGCAGGAGCTCCTGTGAGCATTCACATAGGAAGGGACAAGCTGTTCCCTATGGAGTAATTAGGAGTAATGGGAGAAAAATAAAAAAGATATTAAGGGCAGATTCTGGGAAATCTCTTCAGGGAGGAGAACTCTGTTCCTCTGGGAGGAGTCTGTGAGGGGAATGTGTTTTGAGCCCTGTCATTGAAGAAAAGGCTGCAGAGTGGAGCTCGCTCCATGAAACACATGGCTGGACCTTGCCAAGAGAAAAGGAACTGGGTGTAGGGGTGGGAAGTGCCAGGTTCCTGCCCAGACCCCTCCAGGAGGGTTCACAGAGCCTTTTCTTCCCCATCCTCCCACTCATCACCAGCACCAGGCCCTTGCCAGCTCTCAGTGCTCCATCAGCCGGGTTCCATCAGGGAGGGAGGCGGCCGAGGGGAAGCTGCCAGTCGAGGAGCAAATGTCCTGTCAGATCAGCGTGGGGAGGGTGTTCAATGTCTGCTTGCTTCTGCTGAGATTTTCTGTGCTGTACCATGACCTCAGATCCCTGGGATCCCCTGGGAATGCCCAGAACCACCGGCTGAGCCCCGTGTCAGACCTGACGCTGTCGCTCTGTAGCAATAAGAACTCCCTGTGTGTGGGACCTGTCCCCTCACAGCTCTGTCACCTCCTGGGCTTCTGGAAGTGTCCCTGAGCAAACCCTGAGGCCCAGCTGAGCTCCGTGGGACAGGCCTGGGACAGTCTGCTTACGCTAGGCCAGAAATGGTGAACCAATGAGAGTGGGTTGCCCTGAAATTTAATTTTATCTATTGAATGTTTGTGGGATTTCTATTTAATTTCAGGTTTAGTTTGGATGCTTAGTTGAGGTTTTTTTCCTCTTACGAGTCCTTTGTAACTCAACAGGAGAATTTTGCTCGCATAGACAACGGTGTATCCATAGACCCTGAGGGGTTCCTCATCCATAGGCAGCTGAGTTGGAACTTTTGGCTCCTGAAACAAGGAATGATGACTGGCAGGATTTTCTGTAGCATCCCTGACAGTGGGACCCAGATGAGCAGCTCAGGCTTAATGATGGGAATATTGTAGGAATATTGTTGATGAGCACAGACATGTCCAACCCTCGCTTTTTACAACCAAAGCTCCTAAAAAAAGGCACTTCCAGCCTCACTGGCCTCGAATCCTTGTTCTCACATCCCAGGGGGTCTCTTGGCAGTCTCTGCAGTGTCTGTGGATAGGCTGCGATTGTTTTTTCAAGTGGGCTGGGGGTGTGGGAGAAGGGATAACTTTTCCCCTTGCTGTGTAGAAGGACCTTCCCCCTCAAGGAAGGAGATGTGTTCTGGAAGGAGCAGCAGATTTAGGAGCTGTTTTCCATGGTCCCTTGAAGCTTACTGGTACTTTAATACTCCTTTTTTGGAATTCTTTGAAGGAAAGCCGGTAGTGGATGACCTGCACAGTGGTGGCAGGTGGCAGCCCAGGCTGTCAGTGGAGGGAACACTGCCCAGGCCGTGAGGATTGTGGTCCGCGCCATAGCCAGACAGTGTCATGGTGACAACCAAACATCAGGAGATCCTTGTTTGCAGCCAGTCTGAAAAGAGAAGCTGTTCCTCACTCGTACGTTCCATTTCCCAAACCTCCTCCTGGGAGCTGAATTCTTGTTTCATCAAGCAAAGGATTTAATGTTCTCCTGCCCCTCCTGGCCCTCCTTGCCCTCAGTGACTCGTGTGCATTTCCTTCCTTTCTGTAGATGCAGATGTTCTAGGCAATACCACAGAGCACCCGCGCTGCGAGTGCGACCATGTCATCTTAAAAAATACAAAAAAAATATACAAAAAATATACAAAAAATATCTTTTTTAGGCCAGAGTTTTCTACAGGTATTAATGAATATTTTTCTTAATCCTTATAAGTTTTATGTGTTTAATATTTCTTAATACCGGTAGCATTAATTTATACTTTTGTAGCAACACAATATTTTTATAAACCGCCACCGCTGGCTTTGTCTTCATAACGGGAAACGTGCGGGCAGCTGGCCCCGCGCTGTACCATGTACTGTATTTAAAAGGTTATCTAATGTCACACTTGCTGTGTTAATAAACAAAACAAAACCTGTTTGAAGTCTCATGTATTGTTGGTGTGGATCAAATGACTCACTAGAGAGCAATATTGCACGGGGTTGAGTTGCTGATTTTCATTGTGATATGCGAATGCTTGAGGCCAACTCAAGTTCTGAGGTTTTTTTTTTTTCTTTTTAGGATTTTGTTTTGTTTTTGTTTTGTTTTGGGTTTTTTTCAGCTAAATAAATTCAGTGCTGTTTGAAACTTAGACTGACGTCAAATGAAAAGGATTATTAAAGAAAAAAAAAATCAAGGTGTTTAAATGTTGCTGTTTTTACAAGTCTGTTGCTGTCTGAATGGAAATATTCCACAAGAGAGGAGGAATAGTTCCACTTAGCTTCCAAAGGGGCCGAGCGCTCCAGGCCAGAGCTCGGTTATTTGGAAATACCTTAGAGACATGTTTCTGCAACATTCTTTTCAGAATTGATGCCAAGGCAGAAGACAAACTGTAACTGTAAGAAAGCATCCGTTGCTTGAGGATTTTCATGTCAGTGTTGTATTTATGGTTTTACAATAAAACAACCTTTAGGGGAAAAAAAAAAAAAGTGTCTGGGGTTTTCTGTATCTTCTGTATTTCAAGCTTGTGATTAGGACATCCCCAGTGCTGATCTGCTGTTGTGAGGAGGGAAAACATCCATGGAAGTGACCTGGATCCCAGCAGGGGTGTCTGATGGATCCCACAGAATCATGGAATGGTTTGGGTTGGAAAGGACGTCCATTCCACCCCTGCCATGGCAGGGACACCCTCCACTGTCCCAGGCTGCTCCCAGCCCTGTCCAGCCTGGCCTTGGGCACTGCCAGGGATCCAGGGGCAGCCACAGCTGCTCTGGGCACCCTGTGCCAGGGCCTGCCCACCCTGCCAGGGAACAATTCCTAATTCCCAATATCCCATCCCTCCCTGCCCTCTGGCAGTTCACAGCCATATGACAGCTCCACATCCCATATCCCTGGGGCACTCAGAGCCCCCCAGAGCATTTCCCAGAGCATCCTGTGTCCCACACTCAGTTGCCAGGGCTATGAACTGCTCCTGTCTCTCTGGAGAGATGTTTTTGTGCAGCACAAAGGCCCCGAGCCCCTCAGAGTGGGGCTGTCCCTTGGGGTTGGGGTTCCTTCCACCAGGAGGTTCGGCCCAGCTCAGGGTGTTTGTGCCAGCAGCCTCAAAGCCAGCGCCAGGTTCTGCTCAGGGATTCCACCTGTGCCAGCAGATCCAGCTGGGATTGGATTCTCCTGGGGAAGCAGGAGCTTTGGGGGCCGGGTGCCTGTGGTGAGAGCCCAGAGGGGCACCGGGAGCTGGGCTGGGGGTCTGGCTGCACCGGGGACTGGGGTCGCAGGGATGTGCTGTGAGGGGGCACTGACAGCTGGGAATGGGACTTGCTGATGCTCTCTGGAGCTCCAGGACCCACCTCCAAATCAACCAGGGAGCACCAGGAATTGTCCCAAGGGAAACAAGTACAGAGCCCAGAGTGCTAAGGATGAGGCCAGGCCTCACACTGCAAAATCCCATTGTCCATCACCCTCCATGTGTCCTTTTCTTTGACCGCTTCGATGTCCTTTGGGATTTTCTAACCTTGCACCCACCCTTCACTCACCAAAAAAAAAACGAGCAAAAAAACCTTTGCTAGAGAATTAGCGAATTTGTAGTGGATTTGTGCCCTGGGAAAAAGCAAAAGCCAAAGACATGGAATGACAATGGGCCTGGCCACTGGATAACCTCTTGGCCAGTGGTAAAGTGTGAAGATAAACCAGAATAAGAAACACAGCTATCAGTATCTAGTGGTGAGAATGGCTGAGGTTTTGCTGGGGATTTGTAGAAGAGGTTTCAGTCAACAGATCAGATGCCCTCCGGTGCTACTAGATAAGAGTTAGGATTTGTTTGAAGATCTAAATGTGTAAAGTGGATAATTAAAGCCAACAGGCCCAGAAGATGGGATCCCTGGCATGCCAGCAGCTCCAGCACTCAGCTGTCTCTTTTGCTGGAGCCATTTAAAAGGATAAATAAGATTGCTAGTGGGAGTGGAAGAGGATTAAGCTAATCCTGCTGTGTTTCCTGATTCCCTGACTTCTGCCCTAACAGGACAAAACTCCTTTAGCTTTAGCAATAAAGGAACTGGTAGCTCTGAATTCAGGCTGTGCTCGAGGTACCCAGAGTTTTCTGTCCCCTCGGAGGGACGGATGTTTGCTCACGCCGAGGTGCTGGGTGGGACCAGGGCGGAGGCGGGGAGCAGCAGCCGGGTGAGTGCCAAGGCCCCTGGGCGTGTTTGTGCCTCTGGGGTTGGGGTGCCCCTTGAATTTGGGTGAGCAGTGCCCCGTGACCCACCCACACCAGGGAACAGCTCTGCCCTGCAGCTGCCCCGTGCTGTTTGTCCATCCCCCGTCTCTGCCAAGACATGTCCTGGGGGCTGAGGGGGCCCCGCTGCCCCGGGATGGGCCGGGCAGGCCCCGGGGCCCGGCTCAGCCAGGAGTCAGATCCCTGGGCAAGCTCATGGGAATGGGGCAGGGCTGAGCTCCTGAGGGAATCAATCTGCAGCTCAGAGCCCGGATTGGGAGGGGGATCCAGGGTCGGACACAGCCCAGCAGCTGCTGGGCAGCTCCGCGGGATGGGGCAGGGGAGCTCCGGCTGGGCAGAGGCATCACTCAGGAACAGCATCACTCAGGACAGGGGCTGAGGGCCAGAGCCGAGCTGAAATGGGGCTGCAGGAGTGGGGCAGTGCCCCAGGTGAGGCTGGTCAGGGCCTTTAACACCCGACAGAGCTCTCGGTCCCTGAGAGGCTCAGCTGTTGAGCCGGGCAATGCTCCTGCTGCGAGCTCCTGCTTCCCCGCCGAGCTCCTCTCTGGAGGTTCCCCATGCTCCTGAAGAAGGAGAGTGTGGGCCAGTTCCAGGATCCCTTCTCCTGCCAAGAACACCCCACAAAACAGCGAAGAAGAACAAACAGGGAACGAGATTAGTTTTAAAAGACATTTAATAGTGAAATATTGACAGGACAGAACAGACCAGTGTGAAGTGGTTTGTACTGGAAAACAGACAGGAAATAAAATTTACTAAAGCATCAATCCCCCAGATTCTCACAGCTCCTCTGCATGCTCCCAGAGCTGCATCTCCTGTGCTTTTGTGTCTTCTAAAAATTCTATTCCTCCCTCTCCCCCTCTCCTCCATTGGGATGCAGTCAGGCAGGTGGTGCCTTTGGATTAAAAGTCTTTTTGCCCAGGAATTTTGCAGCCAGAAGTGTCTGCTCAGCACCAAGCACAGACAAATCTCCCAAGGACCTCCAGGACCACCCACTTCCAAAGCTGCTGGTGCCTCCCACTGCTCTCCTGGAGGAGCCCCTGCCCGTGGCTGCCCCTGCTCCCCCCAGGGCCATGGCCAAGCTCCCTCCTGCCTGGTGCCACAAAACAGGTCCCAGATTCATTTCCAGAGAGGTGATGGAGGCAGCAGCTGTTCACTCGCCATGGCACATTTGTCAGCCTGTGATGTGGATATGAAGATTAACAGCAGAATAACTGCACATTTCCCCTGGGGTGATCGATGAGCTGAGAGCTCCTGATGCTGAGTGCTGCAGCTCTCAGGGAAGCTGTTTTTAAATTGCACCAGTTGTAAGTCACAGCAAATTAACAGATTCTTTTTAAGTACCCAGAACATCTGTTCTCCACTCGAGGAGAGTGTTGGGGGAGCAGGTGCTGTGTGCTTGGTGTGAGGCACAGGGGTGCTCCTGGGTCAGAGGGACACTGCTGGGACTGGGTGAACTGGGGGGAAATGGCACTGAATGAGTTAACTGCGGGAAGATGGCTCTGAATGAGTGAACTGGGGGGAAATGCCCCTGAGCTGGGCTGCAGGAGAGCACCCAGGTGTGGATGTGCCCCACTGGAGGGAAGCTCCCAGTTTGCTCATTCAGAGCTCTGTTTGCCCACAGGACACCCACTCCTGGTGGTCTGGCACAGCTGGGCACTGCCCACGCAGGGAGGGACCCCCCACGCAGTGGTACCAGAGCAGAGCACCCCATTCACCCCTGGATGGCCAAGGGCAGGGGGGAACCCGTTAGAAGAAGCAGCTCCAAGGGTGACACTGACACCAAGGGTCACTTTGTCCTCAAGGGTCACCTCATCCTGAACCATCCTTGTGGGAGAGATTCCTGTGGCACAGACACGTGGTGGCACTTTTCCAGCTTTCAGAGTGCCGAAGGACAGCAGCTACAAAGGGCACAGCAAAGAGTTTGTTCCAATCAGATTTATTTCAGTCAGGTATTTTGCATGAGTTTTGTATGGCTTGGCTGCTCTGATGCCTCTTTAACCTTCAAACAGTTGAATGGCTGCTGCACCAATGGATCCTCCTCCACGTTCAGTGAGCAAAAAGGAGCTGCTTTTAGTTCTGGATGGGAGAGCAAGATCCATCACTGCCTCTCAAGTTCAAGTCATTCTCTGTTGTAACATTGTAGGATTCTGTGCTGCTCATTCTTTCCAGAGAAATTAATTTTGGCATTTATATTTACCCAGTGTCAGAAGATGCAGCTCCTACAGGATTGGAAGGATGTTGCCTTCGTCACTTTTCTTTTCCTAATGTGGAAACGAGCACCAAGGAGAGCGATTTGTTCCTGCCCAGCCTCCTGCTGCTGTGTGGGAGGTGGGAGATGGGAGAAGTGAAGTTCCTCCTTCAGTCAGTGAACATCTGAGGGGGCAGGAGGAGCCCATGCTGCTATCCCTGAGGCCTGGGCCCTCAGGTGGGATGAATCTCACTGAATCTCAAAGAGGGCTCCCTGTGCCCCCACACAGACAGGGAATGCCAGAGTCCCTCAGGTAGGAGCAGACCTTTAAAGCCACTGTCCCCTGTCCCCAGGTGCTGCATCCACCTGGCTTTTAAATTCCCCCTGGGATAGGGACCCCCCTGTCCTGGGCAGCTGTGCCAGGCCATGGTCAATCTCCCAGTGGAGACATTTTCCCCAGTGTCCTCCCTAAGCCTCCCCCTGAGGCTGTTCCCTCCCCTCCTGTCCCTGTTCCTGACCCCCCCGGCTGTCCCCTCCTGTCAGGAGCTGTGCAGAGCCACAGGGTCCCCCCTGAGCCTCCTTTTCTCCAGGCTGAGCCCCTTCCCAGCTCCCTCAGCCTCTCCTGGGGCTCCAGCCCCTCCCCAGTTCCCTCCAGCCCCACGCTGGGCTCTGGGTCCCTGCAAAGCCCGTGCTGGAGGTGCAGCTCATCCCAGCTGCCCACAGATACCTCTCCAACAAAGAGCATTTGTTGCTCTTTTTAAAGGCTTTTAAACCACCCTGTCCCCTTTGGGTGGGTGGGACTAGGGCAGGTGGCTGCAGGTTTTTTCTTTTAATACCTCTGGATAGCAAGGACTCTGAATTCAGCCATTTCAGATGAAATCCCACATCTTGGCAAGTGCTTGCATATGTCCAGAATATTCTTTCTCATTTTCTGGTAAGACATCATTGTTCAGTACTTGAACCAAATTTTCATTTGAATGCAGTATCTGACTATGGGGAAAAAATACAGTAATAATATTTTTTCTGAAAATAACACAGAGAGAGAAAAAGAAATTGCAGTTTGGTGAGAC